CCCCTCTCTGTTCATGAACACAATGAATTTAGTGGACAACTTAAATTTGTCACTGAGCCTTCACAATACTCATAATCACTGCCATCCCTTTATCAACAAAGTAAAAAAACAGCTTTTTTTACCATTCAAAGTTTGTGACATAGTGATAGTCATTCATACTACAAATCTGTACAATCTTGGAAAGGAGCTCATCACAGTATGCTGGAACAAACAACAGCACATTGTAAAATTAATAATTCCAAAAATAAATCTTATACAAAGTTTCTTTTATAGTAATGATAATGATAACAATAACAAGAAACAACATTTCAACTGCTCTGTTTTAAAAAAAAAACAAGAAGTAAATATTATTATAATAATGATTTGAGGATTAATAATAATTTTGATAATTCTTACTCTGACTGTCGGCCTTGTCAATTTGCACCATCAGCTTCTTGATAATGTCCATTATATTCTTCTTAGAAACCTACAGGAAAAGAGGTTGTTTAGAACAGTGCCAATACTCAACATTTCCAGACTTGCCAAGTATCACGACTTTGTTGTGAGTCTCACAATTTTAAGACCTATCTCACATTCTCACAAGTTCACAACTTACTTCTTGCACTGTCTCCAAAAGACACACTGGAGAATCTCTAAGGCTCATTTCCAAATTAGAAGGCAAACTCAATCTACAGAAAACACCTTGTGGCAAATGACATGAATTTGGGATTTTCTTCAACTCTAATAAATTATTGCCTTTGTTTTTGAGTTGAACGGCAAATTTAATGGTGTGAATTTCCTACCATCCCAACGATAAGATCCAGAGCTCGGAGTCTAATAGATTCATCCTTGTCATCCAAACACTGCAGCACTATGTCTCTGAAACGAAAAAGCAAATTCTTTTCGTATAGTCCTATATTTCGTTTTACTTATTTTGTTTTATTTTATTTTATGATTTTCTTTAGGAATTAAATATTTATTTTCCTCTATCTCGGAGACATTAGCTTTAAGAGCTACACTGTAAATCTGAGGATAAATAAAGGTGATGTATGATCTATATATGTATGGTATTTGCTAGAACTCTCGTTACATTTATTTGCCTAATTTTGATTTGCTAGCTTGGAAAACCAGATAGACACCAAGGAACATTAAAACTACATTCAGCTAACTGTGAGCTGTACTTGTAAAAATAATAATATGCTCCTAACAGTGTTATTTTCTATTTTTAAAATACTTTATTCACTTTCTAAGGGCTTTGTTTTAGTCTATAAAACACAACACCAAACAAAGTAGGAGCAAAGCGGGGGATCCTAAATGTAGTGAACATGCCTGGCCCATCATGCCTGCTTGGTTAGCAAGTCAGAAGACAGTGTTTGCTTTATACTACTTGCTTGTTTGCAAAGCCAGCTATTTATTAAAAGTCACTTACTTATGCCCTTGTACAACTTTGGGGTTCACAGCCAGGATTTTTGACATAGCAAGCAGACCAAGATATTTCACTACAAAGGAAAATCAATGTTCACAGTCAATTAATGGTAATGTCACATCACAGATATAAGTACAGTAAAAGTAGGTCTAGTGTAGTGTGGATTAGAAACCACTTTAGGCTGAGCTAGTAAATTTTGGCATGTGAATGCAGTACACGTACAAACATCATTCAGGAACGGAACTCACTCTGACTTCGGAAATGAAAAGGCTGGTTTTTACTGGCAACAGAGATGGAGCTGGAGTTGTAATCAGAAGCATGGAACTTTACGATCTAGTGCAAACGGCGTTATGAGTCTTGTGATTCCGCTTACAACTGCATCATTTACGATCAAGTGAAAACTGGGTTGTCTGAGTCGCAAGCAGAAGCGAAAGAACTAAACCAATCACAACGTATGGGAATGTGTACTGTGACTGGTTTATCCTTCCGCTTCTACTTCTGACTCTGACAATCTGGTTATCACTAGATAATAAGCGGAATGTAAGCGACGGAGTCGTAAGTGGAGTCTGAAGAAAATGGAACCTTCTGATTCTTCTGAGTCCAATTCCGTCGCGCTTATAACTCTGTTTAAGAATCCGATTTTTGATTTTCACTAGGTCATAAGCGCTCTTATGACTCCAATTACGTCTCCAACTCCGACTCTGTCCCTAGTGACAGACAAGCCTTAAGTCATTGTGGTATCGTTACAATAGCCCCTAACAATTAAAATGCCTTACAGTTCTGATCCGGGTCTTCAATTAAAATCCGCAACTTGCTGACACAAAGCTGCAGAAAAAGCAAAATAAGTATCATGATATGAATGTCAAGGAATTAGTGAAAACAAAAATATATCAATTCCACTAATAAACTCAGCAAATTTTCAAAACATGGTCAATTTAAGTAGCATTAAAAGCGAGTATTATACCTGGATAGAGGCTGTATGGTGAGGTAATCCTAGGAACGAGAGAATAAAGAATTGTTAACATCAAATGTTTAAAACAATTAACATTTTTGTGTCAATGCAAAAAACAACAATATCTGAAAAATTGAAAACATTTGCATAATATGCAAAATATGCCTTAGAGTGTATATGCCATGAATTTTTGTTTTGTCATTTTTAGTTCTAAAATATGTGTAAAACATGTATAATGTATCTGAAATTTAAACTCGTCAACAATCTTACAAAACCTATTTTTTAGTCTTCAAAACACCCAAATTGCCTTTAAAAATGTCCACCCTATCGTACGGCCAAATTGACAACAAAATCACGGCATTTTAGATGTGTAATGGGTTTGCAGTGGAAGAGTGCATAACGTTTAGTACATCTGCATAAAATCAAGTAACCTCTGTACCATTTTCGTAAACCATTCCTTACCTGATACTACTGTGTTGATACATTCATATAACAAAGACATGGCTGACGTGCTGCAAGGAAATAAAACTTCACATCTAAGATGTCACTGATAACCTACTCCTGTTTGCTTAAATTGATGCAATAGCACAATAATCAAAGGTGGCTCAATATTACAGTTTTCAGAAGATGATGATGATCATTTTTAACTGTCTAAATTAAAAATGAAAGAAACATCCATAGCTGCTTATGTAAAGCTAACTGTAAGATTTATCCAGCAGCATAAATCCACCACTGAACAGTATCATCTTCAGATCAAGATAAACACATTGTTTTTACCTATGAATTAGATTTGTTAATGGCTCCAGCAATTTCTTTCCCAGTCTTGGTTCAAGAGGACAAAGCGCTCCAAACTGCAAGAGAATTAAAACAGAATCATTAATAGAAGGAGCCCAATGAAAAACGCCCTAAATCACTCATGATCTCTAGAAAGTTATATATGCAGAAAAATCTACAATGCAAAATACTTTTTGAGTCATCAAGAGGTGCTTTCTTTTCTAGCCCCTGTAGTGACATGGATCATAGTGGATCGAAGGCCTGAGCCAAGATATTTTATGCATAGTCAGGCTGTCACTAATGGGTGGGAGCTGCGGGCGGGGGGCGGGGCCAGGGGGGCTGGGGGGGGCTAGGGCGGCTAGGGCTGGGGGGCTTGGGGGCCTTGGAGCAGGGGCTGGTGGCCAGGGATTTGCACCAGATATTATGGGCATGACCGCTGGCTACATTCATGAGAAAGAAGAGGAGGAAAATGGAACCAAAAGAAATTCACAACTGTTTAATCCCCGCCTACCAATTGCATATACCTGGCAACTTGACATCCCTGATAGTTAACAGAAAAATTCTTATTTCAGAGTGAAAATGGCCTAGATACAAGATTAAGCACAAATGCAAGCACAAGGACAAGAATCAAATAATAATGTTTTTCTTTTTGTCTTTGTGACACATTCATGTACATTGATGCTGTTGTGCTTGTATCAGTATTTAATGTCAACTGACACAAGACTCTTAAGCTTGCAATAATATTATCATTGCAGTAGTAAAGACAAGACTCAAAAATACAATGTAATATAGGTGATGTTACATGGGATGATTTTCAAGGATGATTTTAAGCATGACAAAGTCTCGCAATGTTGGAACAATATTGCAGCTATTCGAAAAATTGTTGCAACAACGTTGATAGAGTTGCGCTAAAACTCTTCATTGAAAATCATCCTGTGTAACATAACCTTAAGTAGGAGTTCTTGGAAGAATATGGAACTGTTGCATTTAAGAACATGGAACTGTTGGATTTTTAAAGGAGAATACCAGAGCGACAGAGAAAAACCAGTACCACTCAGAGCAATGAACAGAGTCAACGACAAACCAAACCCACATATGATGAGTCCTCCAGTTTACAAACCTGAGCCACAGCAGTCTTAATATAATGAACCTCTTTATGACAAAGTCCTCTGTATAAGGAATGATATTCTTCGCCCCAGTGGTAGTAAAAATATAAGGAAAAGAACCTTCAGGCAACAAAACCTCATTATTTAAGTGAACGTACTTGTGAGTCCCTTGGTCCCTTGTTATATCGAGGTTCTATCGTTAGTAATAACTTTAATGATACTAACCAGTTTGATGATTTTGATAAGCATCCAGTTGTTAGTGGAACTTGTCATCAGTTTGAAAAACAATGGTGCAAGTGATAAGTAGTTCTTTGGATTTTTACGAGCTAACTCGCAAATCACATTCACTGCTGCTGACTGGACACCTGTGGTAAGATGACACACAATAATCAATGACTTTGAAGTATAGATAACCAGCACTGGCTCATTAAGAAATCGCCTTGACAATTTTCCATGGTCTGTACTCTTGTCAACCATGGAAATGACAACCATGGAAACTTAAGTGGAAAGTTTTGAACATTTTGACATCATTTCCATTCTCAATGAAAGTACATACCATTTGTTTTTTGCAACAACATTTACAGTTTTGTTGCCATTTCCATTGAAGTTTCTTGGAAAATTGTGTGAATGAGAGAGCGAAAAACAAATTGCGCTAGTGCCCAAGATCATCTATTGGCGATGAGTTTAATATTTGGTGAGTTAAGACTTAATTTGCTCCATTTCTTTTTCTTATTTCAAAAGATATGTGTAAAAGTTTTTTACCAGGCTCTGAATCTTCAAGCTTTTCCTTCAGCCTTGGGAAAGCAGGCCTAAGTGCTTCTGGAAACTGGAATAACCCAAAACAATGAAAGTTACCATATATAGATTTTTAAAAAATAGTGTTTTATTTGTTGGAAAGTGCTATCCAACTTTTGAACAACTGTGGCCCGGGTATTTGTCTAACGAAACAATGCAGTATCACTTTTATAATATGATCTGAGATAATGGACAATGAAAACAACAACAACAACAACAAGAGAAGCAGGTTTGAAATTTAAAGAAAATAAATATGCACTGTATTGCACTCTACAATGTTACCTTGAGAAATATTTTGTACATCAGCAAGACAGCTCTTTTCCTGATGTAAGGCTTGGTGGACACAAGCTAGTGGAAAATAAAGGTGGGAGAATTTACAAGTATACCAGGGGCACCTACCATAAACATGGGGAATTCGATTCAAACTAGAAACTCTTATTTAGGAAACCAATATAAATGGGTTGGAAAGAAAGCCAGCCAAACACCAGCAACACAAAGCTGATGGGCATTACAAGACTGAAAGACCCATGCAAAAATTATCCAAAGGCATCAACCACTCAACTACTCACGCTTTGTTGCTAATTTAGTTAAATTACATTTAAACGCATTTAAAACTGAAGTTTCTAGTCACCTTATGGCTTTGCACTTTTGAATAACATACAAACTTTGAAGTTTAAAAGCCAACTTCATGATTGTGTTTTTCACTGCCTTCAATCATAACTATGATCACAAGCAGCGAACCTTAAAACACAGAAACTAACAAAACAGATCAAAATTCATCAATCACGAATCACAAACCAAGAACCTCTGAACCCGTTGAAGTAAACTTCTGTTTTCTAAGAGGTCCATTAGGATGATTGATGGCAGCAAGAGAGTTTGCATGTTTTTGAAAAGCAAACTACAGAAGTAACTAGGTACCACCAGCTGCTACTAAAACACAGCTGTGACAACTCATTTGCTACACTTTGGAAAGTCAACTGGCTATCCTATCCTTTATGTTCCTATCCTTCACCATATTTCGGATGGGTTGCGATCGTTGAAATGGCTTCCTATTAGAGAGAAACTCATTCTAAATGACGCTACTATGATGCACAAATGTATTAACAAGCTTGTTCCAGACTATCTTGCTGATATGTTTAAATCACATCCTCAAGTCCATAATAGACAAACTTGATCATCTGGTGCTTTGGATATACCTAAATGTCACCTGTCAACAGGGCAGCGCTCCTTTGCTTTCAGAGGAGCCAAACTCTGGAACTCCTTGAATGATAATATTAAGTCCTTAAAATGCCCCAGGAATTTTAGGCGTCATCTTGCAAATGTTTTATTAAGTTGATATATTTTTGTAATTATAATATTATTGTACTTACATTCTTAATTAATTTATATAAATTTGTATTTTTTATTCTATTGAGCTGAAAAGCCCCCTTAGGGAGCATCAATAAAGTGTATGTATGTATGTATGTATGTATGTTGAACTAGCCAAGAAAACTCACCAAGCACATGACATCATTAGCCAAATCTCTAGCTAAGTCTGTTGTCACAAAACACGAAAATCCAGCAAGTGACACACCAGCATCATACACGTTCATGCTGCAAAGGTCCTGCATATAGAGTTACAAATAATAAAGTATAACAAACAAACGTACTCATGGTCAGAATGCCACTGACAGCTACATGTTTATTAAGTTTAACCAAGCTTTGACAACTGCGTCGCTAAGTGCAGGTGGGTGCCCAAAATATCCGAGAGCTTCCACTTTTGGCAAAGTCAGCCCTTAGACTGAGTTACACCCCCATGGCTGATAAACCACGCCTTCCAGCTATGAGCCACACATCAATGGAACCAGGCCCCAGTCATACTGATATATCAATGGATATATCAATGGAAAGTAATAGGAGGGAGGGGGGTAGGAGGAAAATGCACTAATAATTGCTTCATATCATAAATCTCCTTTTTTGTGAAGATCATGGAATATTTTCAGATGTATGATTAAAATACATCCCTTCCAAACATTAAAATGTGGTAACTGTTTTATTTCCTTTCATAATGGTAAATGAAGAAGCTCTACTTGATTTTTCCTTTTTATGCCAGGTATCCTGACAAGCTTTGCTGGTGCATCACATACAAACTCACCACAGATGACTAGGAACAAAGCTGGGACATGACAACTCCTGCTTATATTCACAGAAAACAAAGGACTAAAACTTAAGAATTATCTGCTCACCTTTCTGATCATGTTAGTTGTAAGCATAAGAATGTCCAGCTCTTCATGAAATGACTGGGATGCTGCCAGGTAACCAATTCTCTGATGAACAGAAAAACAGAAAAAGTAAGCAAAACAAGAAAAGGAGACTTATTTTGCTCAAGAAAGAGAATGAAAATACATGTATGAGATATATAATGAGACTCAACAAGTTGGTCATTCAGAATACTCCATTTCCTCCCTGGCCTTCAAAATTAGATCCTCTCCCAAATTTAACGCCCACCTTTGCTTAAACTTTTTCTTATCAAAATTACATGTAAAGGGGTAGGTTGTGTTATTTTTCAATGATCTTGCCCATTTTCATTAACTATAATTCTTAAAACTACAGCTGTTAAAGATTGAAACAATTCAAGGCTGTGCTCTAATTAAGAAAAATGGAAGAGAACTCAGTACTCTTAAATTGGGGAATCCGGGATACCCAGCTTGCTTCTTATAAAAAAAAACTCAGATTCCCTAGTCGCCCAAGAGCAAAAGTAATGCACCAGCCACCACTAGGTGCTTCTACAGCAAATCCCTGTAATTTTATTTGGGGAGTAAAAGAGATTTAAAAAAAGATCAGCTCTTTTAATTACACCAAGGAGATACATTTGTAAAGTTTTTGGTTTAAAAGTATATGTCAGTGTATAGCGTAAAGTTCCTAAAGACTAGTAATGACGCAGCAAAAGTAGTGACCCTCTAAAAGTAGTGATAAAATTTCACTGGTGTTAGCAAATGCCAAAAGTAGCGACACCCTGAATAATAAATGCGAAAGTAATGAGGATCATTACTTTCGGAACTCTATATTGTAGTAAGCTAGGAGACCACTGTACATTGTAATCTCACCTTGAAGGTAAACTTTGATGAGCTCATCACCTCAATGATGTTAAATGCAGCCCAGCTGATGTCATAACCTAGCATTTGAAGCTGAAAAAGAAATTTTGTCAGTCCCCAAGTGCATGTATGAACGTTTATGGCCAGGCCAGAAAATTGGCCAAGTACACCACCTGCTTTCATGCAAGATCTGCAAGGCCATGAACATTAATTTTATACTTGGCAACCGGCAATGAACCATGATCAGCGCTACCACCTTCCACCAATTTACGGAACAATTTTGTAGCCTCATCAAAACAAGGCTGTAAATAACAGCAAATGTCACTGACAACAGGATCTGAATGGGTTCTAAAAGCTCTTAACTTGCCAAAAACTGTTGGTGTTGAAGAATATTTCTCTGTAACAGATATCATGTCGTGAAATAACTCTTAAGTAATGGAACACAGGAGACGTCAAAGTGTGGTAAGAACATCAGTGACATGCCTGCCCACCACAGGAGAGTCACTTTTTAACTCGTGGATTCATGTAGCGTAAGGAGCCAGTTATTGTGGGCACTGTGATATGCGAATGTATCACTCGGGTGTAGACACTTTTTGTAATTAGTCAGCTCCATACGAAAGCGCCCAATATCAACACGACAACTGTCGTAGATCGATCGTTCTGAGCATGCATTGTTCCCAGAGCTTTTGATGTTATGATTTTGTACCTTTCACAGTACAATAAGTTGTCTTCATTTGGACTTTGAATGTTTTGAATGCTAATCGACTCCCCAAGCTGGTCCAAGCTCACAATTCTCTCGATTCTGCCATGAATCTCATGTGGGTCTCAATTTTTAACTTTTCTCATGACAAGACAAGACTCCCAATCTCATGGTTTTTAGGGAAATATCATTCTGAAATGGAATGTTTCTTCAGTTCAATAAAAACGGAAATGTTTACTGTTGCTGAATTGTAATTGATTCTCCTCATGTATGTAAAAGCAGAGAATTGCAAGCTGTACAACGCCGTCAGCAAGAGACTACACGACAGTTTTGCAAGACACTTAATATTGCTTTGTCAGCCATATGTTTTTCAAATGCAGCGAAATGAGTTGAAGTATGGCTTTTAACATCAAAACCATGCTTGTTTTCCTCTAATATATTTTTCAGTAGCTCTACCAGCTTCAAACAGCGTCCACCGGCAGAATTTCAAGGACAAAAATGTTGAAAATAATTAATTTAACAACTTTACTTAACATTAGTTGTCATGGTGCAGTAGATTATGCGTTGACCTTACAAGTCGAAGGTCCGGGGTTCAACTCCCGCCGGAAGAAACTTTTCTTCTTTTTTTTGGTCTTTTTGCATTGTTTTGTTTTTTCCTTGACCCTTTAAGCCCCAATGGTGACCAAGATCAATTTTCTCCTAAAGATATCCATACCTTGTCAAGAGATAAGGTTATGAGAATTAATGAAATGATCTCTAAAGAGAAAATGCTTTGATCTTTTATCAAATTCCCTCAACTTCCTCTTTAAGGAAATATATAGAGATCAGTTTGGAGGATTGGTATGTGGATTTTGGGCTTAAAGGGTTAAAGCATAAATTATTTTTTGACAGACTTAAAATATACCCGTAGATTAATTGCAAGTTCATTATCAGCTTTCACTTCTAAAATAATTAATCCAAGAGTTAGCCATAGGCACCCTTTGATTTTCTTCGGAACACCATCACTGCCTTTCCTGAGCTCACATGACATGATTTTTTCATTAACTATCACTTATTACATGTAGATTTGGTACTAACAGAGAGATTGAGCCATACGACTCTCAAAACAGCAATTGATTTTATGCATGGTCAATAACAGAACAGTTGAAGAGTTTTTTAAAATAATCACAGCAAGAAATGTCCACTAGCAGTGAGCATTCATTAACTCATTGTCTGCAGCCAATTATTTCAATGTATTTTGCCATGTAACTTTAAAAAATCATATCTCTAGTGTTATTTACAGTTCAATATCAAGCTATACCTCATTGGAAAGGGAAAAGAATACCCTTTCGAAAAAAAAATATTTCGGTCATAGGAAACCCATAATATTCCGCCACAAAAAAATTAAAAAAGCATATTTTGCATAAAATTTTTTTAAAATTTTAAAGGATGTCATTTAGCTAGGAAACTTCTTTATTTTGGGTGATATGGTAGCAAGAAATATTTTTCATCAATATGTAAGTAAAAAAACCCGAAAATCCTTCTAAAATATGGAGCGACTAGAAATTTTCTACAAATTTTTTTCTGCACGCTGTCATGATTATGCTAATTGGATTATCATAATTAGCATAATCCTTTAAGCGTCACCTCGTGACCCCATGTTTACTTCACTGAGACGCTTTGTTTCCTCGATTCCCAAAAAATATCGAGTTAGGGACAAGCAGACATGAATTTGCTGATAGAATTCATCAAAATAAGCAAGAATTTGAGAGCCCAAGCGAAGCGAAGGCAAAACGGGAAGGAAATCGTCGCCGTTTCAAGAACATGTGGCACAGAGTGGGCGATCGGCGATTTGCATGCACAGATTCTAATTGTTTCCTAACCTCGATTTTCGCGTTTATTTTGCTTGTTATCCTCCAAAATCCTTCAGAATAGTTTGTTTGAGTTGTATTTGGTTGACATTCGTCGATACAAGCTTTCATTATTCGCAAAACCGGCTCACAAAGATTCCCCGCGACTCGCCATAAAATTCAAAATTTTCGAAAACCCGGTGTGTGATGGTCAAAAGTCGACAGGGGCTGGAACTAGGCAGGTGATTGGCTAAATCTATTAACTTCCTGTGTGCCAAATTTGGGAGCAATCGGAAGTAACACAATTTTTTGCGAAATTTCTTTGGTCACCGTTCCTGAAGCTCCGATTTCGGCGACCCCGGAAGACGAAGGGTTAAAAGGCTTACACTAACAATGGTTTTGGAAGTCACCAATGCAAAAGAAGGTGACTAAATCCCCCCTTTTACCCAATCATGCTGTAAACAAAGTCATCACTTACTACTTGTACATTGCTGTAACTATCCTGCGTGACAGAAAAGAAGCTGCCAATATCCTCAAATTAAGACATTCATTAATTTTAAGATACTTTGTGACTGTAATATTTGGTATTATGATTATATTAGTTTGCCGGTTTTGTGCACCCAATGCAATCTTTGGAAGATCCTGAATGGGCATGTTGTTCAAGTGTTATATGCGCTAGGACAAAACATCAACAATCAGAGAGGAAAAAAGACTAACATAAGAAAATGGAAAAATTAATTAACATCTAAAACTTTGGGCACAAAATATGTGATTATCACTTTCACTATTGATTGGCTAATATAACTAACAATTTAATTATTATATTAGTTTATTTAATAGAGGTACAATTACCTTACCCGGACAATAAAGCATTTTCAGTTTAAAAAAAAGTGACTAACTTTTATCGGAACAAAAGAAAGTTTTTACGTAAGAATAAGTCCAACTACTAGAGGATTGGTTTGGGACACCAACATTGTTGTGTTTTATTACTTTGGGACACAAATATGGTGGATGTGATGTCATGTAAAAACACTCCATAAACCTTTATCATATGACCAACACTTTGTATAAAAGGAAAACATTTTTCATGTCTAGCCTTGCAGTGAAGAACTTGATCTGAACAAGTTTAGACATATTAAAAAAAGATTTTTATGCTATGGGGAATTAAATGTAAGGTCTATTGATATCTTCTTTATTTATTTAGGCCACATTCACATGGTATCGGACAAATTTTGGACCAGTCAAAAATTTGTTTGTTTGGGTGCTTCGTTCACTTGGAACCAAGCTAACCATGTGAAAATTTAATGCCTAGCCCTTCAAAAATTTGAATTCTAGACTCAAGGTAAAATTTTAAGCCAGTTTGGTCCAAAATCCAATTGGCACAATATGAACAGCATGACCGTCTAAAGTTTTGTAAGGTAAATTTGACCACATGGTGTGAACGCTCTTTAGAACCGTCTAAATTTTTGTACCGCAAAGGTGTGGTTGCATGGATGTATTGTAACTCTGCTGGTATGTGCCAGTTTGGATTTGTTTACCAGTAAGTAGCACTCTGTGGATGGTAAGATGGTAAAACCTCTGACAAAATTTAAAATTCAACCTGGATCATCAGTTCTGTATGAGCAGATAAGACTGAAAATATTAAATGGTTCATTGTGAATGAAGTATCTGGTCAAATTTTTTGGCCGGTCCAAAATTTGTCTGGTGCTGTGTGAAGGTAGCCTGTATTTCTCTAGCACTGTGCACAAAGTAAGATTTCTGATGATAAACTTCACACAAGAAGAACAACAAGCCGGCAGCATGGGTTAAAGGTTAAGTTAACAGATTAAAGATAACAACAGCAAAAAAAATTTAACCATTTTAACTTCCTGTTAATGACCAAGCATTATGAACCAAACCCCCACCTTCTTTCAAGTTCCAAGACCATGTTTCCACTATGCATATATACGGTAAAAGGCCTTTAAATTTCTACCTTCTTTGATGCCTCTACTTACATAAGTGAGCTTGGCCACCGCATTGGCTTTCACAGCAGCATTTTCTTGCCTCAGCTCTTGTTTGATTTCATCCAAACAGGATGCAATATATTTAGCCTGCCACGAAACGAAACTTCCTGTTTAGCTTAAACGGTATCAAATCACAACCACTCATTATAATATAGGAACAAATTAACTTGATGCAAGTGCTTAACATAAATTTAAATTTCCATGTAAAGAATCACATGGCTAATAAAATAAATCTCGTTTTGTCTTAAAAAAGACGCAGCTTAAACTGAATCGAAGACAGTCAGATTTTCGTGTACATTTCTTTTCTGTTCCTCCGACTGGTTACTGCTAAATCAATACAATATACCCTTTAAACGTACAAACTATTGAAATTGCGAGATGAATACATAAAACAGCATAATAGACATATAAATAAACCGATAAAAAATAGATTATGCCACGTCGTCCGGTAATTGCAATATGCTCATGTGAGTGGAACCCGAGACTTATAGTACCTCGTTGCTTTTGTTGTTTCTGATGCCACGGACAAGATCCGTGAGGTTCTTCTCAAACATTTTTGATGGTAGCCCTCTTTATATCCACATACAGGGCAAAAGTTACGTAAATTCACAGAAAAGTCCTTTATCTACGGCATTTTCCAAACGAAAGTTGATCCTCCCCCGTTAGCTTCAAGATGGCGGCGTAAACTTGCTATGTACTCTGGGTAATGCCTCTCTGAAAGGAAAGCAGGAAAATTATACCGAGGGAGGAGTGGGAAGGGAAGAATAAAATTGTTCTTCTTAATAAATTATTGTTTTTTCAGTTTCTACCGCTACTCAGTCTAAGAAAGTATTTAAAAACGCTTCAACTAGCTTTCTTTACCACTCAAATGAAAATAAAGGATAAAAAGGTCAGAATTCTCTTTCCACTCATTTTTGCTTTCGGTTTTCGCCATTATGTTTAAAGAATTTTCTTTTATCCTTTCTAGAATCAGCGTTCCTTAGAGAAAATTTTCAGACTAAGACATCTTCATTTTACAACAAAAAAGAACCCTTTTCTTTTGAAGCTTGGGAGCCTGGCAAGAAGATCTACTTGGCAAGTTGCAAATTTACCCTAATTTATGCGAATGTATGCTGTGTCTTTTGAAAGACACGGATCAAATACTGTGCCGTATTTATTTTCAACTACCGCGTTCCTTGAAGTTATTTTTGATATCCTTCTGGCCTTTTAAACTACAGTTATTTGAACCATTAGAAGGGTATAAAATGTGCTGCAAATCTTTGAACTATATTCATCGAAATTACTGAGGGAACGCCACCAATGTTCGGTTCGGGAAGATGGTTGTTGCAGAAAATTCGGGTTCCACGGAGCTCTCCTCAAAGGTTTGCTTAAAGTTTTATGTATACTTTACCGAGTCCTCTGATCGGATAATCGCCATCAGAACTTATTTCCGCCATTTTGTGTGCATTGTGAGTCATCAAAAACTTTTTTTTTCTCGTTCAATGCTCTGTCAGATTTCAAACGAGCGGCGATCAAAGAACTCAATGTCGATTCTGCTATGAGCTACTGGTTCTAGTCAATTCTTTCTCCCAAATGAAATCAGACGTTATTTTGCTCTTGAGCACTAATTTTTGATTTAAACGTTAACTGTTTAGAGATCTGGTATGATTTTGTTACCATTGTTTCTTATTACTCGGTTTAAAAATTGTGTTGGATAGCGGGATTTCTCGAAATAGGATCGATCTTTCTTCGAAGCTTGGTGGAATGTTTTTAGATCACGAGTGGAAGAGAAGTATCTTTCGAAGTATTTCTCCTCGATTGTGGATAGCGGTCATTTAAACATGCAAGCGGTAAAAGAGGCTTAATCTTTCAGTATCAATGGTGTAATTCTATTGTTAATTTCGCGGAAAGTGATAAATGTATCCACCATTTCTGGGTCGGACATCGACATTGACGAGCGTCACACGCTTGACAAAGTTTGACACTGACAACAGATCAGTTTCCCGCGTCTGCTTCGGTTATTCACGGCCGTTAAACCTCGCAAGATCAATGGACAATAGATTTTTCTTGGTTTGGTTCTAAAAATTTGTCATTAGCTCTCAAATTTCTATCTGTTTTTATATTTAACCCTGCTGATGAGGAAAAGGTGGATCGTGCAATCTATAAGTTTACATGTTTTCGTCTCGGGAGAAGATTTACACCTGTCCGGTTTTTAGCAAAATAAATTTCCGTTCGATTTCCTTGTATAATTTTGTGTCATCATTAAAGCTTGGCTCAATTAAAAATATGAAGCAGTATTCAGTATATTTTTAATCCTTTAAGCTAAAAGCTGGCCAACTGAGTTTTAGCTGAAAAAACTCTTCTTTGTTTATTTTTATACGTGGTTACTGAAAAAAGTGAAAAGTGCTTAGGAGTTCAAACCCTTTAGGGAATTCAGTTTTTAAAGATTTTCTCTTTACATATCACTTTTTTGTTTCTTTGGTACTTTCTCAATGTCATTTTCTGTTAAAAAAGAAAAAGTACAATTTTTTGTAACTAGGTTAAGTTTTTTGTCTTAAAATACATGAAACAAGACTGCAAATTATGTGTTTGGCTTATTAAAAAACAACCTTAAACTATTTCGCAGACGTTTCGTAATAAAGGTAGCAATTTCTGTCTAGTTATTGCTAGTTTTTATCTTTTACAGTGTATTTTGTATTAAGGAAACTAATTTTGAATTCATTTTTGCCTGCACCTGGTTATTGATTGCATTGGTAAATAACAGACACAAATTATTTTCTGTGTTAATTAATTGCTTTATCTTTTTGCTTTTATCGTCCAGAATATTTTCATTGGGGCTGCTCTTGCTATTGTAGGAAATCTACTAATCAGCATCTCTATGAACATACAGGTAAAGAGAAAAGTGTATATCCTAATATATCCTTGTATAAGGGTGTTGTTGCTCGAAGTTTGAGATTGTTAATTATTTATTTAAGATCTCCCTCACATTGTTAAATCAAAAAAATAGTTCTCACGTGAATTTGGAATAAAATTTTTCATTTTTGTTTTCTATCTTAAGTCATGTTTTCTATTTCAAAACAATCTTTGCATTTTTAGGATGTGTAGGTTTTTAGATCAAACAAGACTTGTTTGATCTAAGAACCTACATATCCTAAAAATGCAAAGTTTGTTGTCTTTTGTTTTCATACCTCAAGGAAAGGGTATGAAAAGCTAGACAGAATCCAGTGCTTTGAACCTGTGAAATCTAGGGTACCCAGTGTATGATTTCTAGTGGAAATTTAAGATTTTCCAGTTGACCAGAAGCAAATGTTAGGCACTTGGGGCCACTAGGGGCAGCTACATATAGAACACAGCCTTGGACTTGGTTCAAAGATTTTCTTTGATAGAAAAAGAGTTTTTCAAATACTTTATCTCGTTGGTTTCTTTTCTCTTGCATCTTCTATAATTATTATTGAAACTCCACAGTTAAATTTTGAAGTCTAGACAGTACATTATTTCCTTATTTTTTTATGTGTTCAAGTGTCCAAGAAACACAAAAGCAAACTAAACAGTTTGCTTTCCAAAAAATCCTTAAATTAATTACCTTGTGCATGGTCTAATATTATTTCATTTATTTATACTGTTCTAAGTATCTTCAGATCCTTAGATAGTTATGAATGAAAAAGATTCCTTGGATGGATTAACTCATCCATTATTAAAAATACTGCTTAACGTGTAAGAAGTGTATTATAGTTTATGCTGAATAATTGTTTTCCCTGAGACCAAACCTTAAAAAAATATTGCTGATTTGTTGTTGTTGTTGTTGGTTTTTTGTACTTTGCATGAAACAGAAATATTCTCATCTTCGCCAAGCAGAGGAAAAAAGTGAAACACATTATTTAAAGAGTAAAATATGGTGGTATGTGTTTGAATTTCTTGCTACATGCTGTATTTTTCTAGTCTATGGATCAGATAGAATTTTCCTAATTAATTATTTATGGCAAGGAAAATGTATGATGTATTTCATTTACACTTTGGTTGTCAGTGTAGAATACATGTAATTCAATCAGCCCCATGATTTTTAATACTGTAAGCTGTTAAATCAAATTTTTACAAGCTGTAACAAAAAAAATACATGTTCTGACGTGTAAAAATTTGCTATACTTAAATTTCATCGTAACATCTTTGCTAAGGTTTCTAATGCATGGATTTTGCCCATAAATGAAAACATGTGAATAAGAGGAAGAAGAAGAGTAATAATATTATTATAAATATAATTTTATTATATTGATGTTGCCTGCCCATTCAACACCAAAATAGTTGTTAAGCAAGGAAATAGAGAAGACTGATAAATACTGTGACCTGGAATACGAGATCAAAATAATGAATTTGGAACTGTCATTCAATTCAAGTCATTTCAATAGTAATTGGTTCACTGGGAACAGTTTCAAGTGGATTTGAAATGTGGCTGAGACAGTTGGGAATTCCATATTGCATGAAACTTTTACAACAAATAACCTTGCTGGGGTCAGGAAGGATGCTGCAAAAAGTGCTGGAGACTTAATTATATTAAGGACAGAATGATGGCCCGGAGTATCCTAGGCCACAGCTGCCTGCAGGCAGCGTGACCCGATACTCAGTAACATTTCCTGCATTATGTAGTGATAAGCTTACAATAACAATGATGGTAATAATAATAATAAGAAGAAATAATAATAATAATAATAATTTAGAAGATTATTGGTTACCCCCAACCAAACTCCCAGGGTACTTAGGAAGCTCCTGCCCTCTAGTATGGATTGAAGAACATCTCTCTAAGTGTCAGGGCTGACTCATGACTTTAAGTGAGGAGGCTGTGGAGTCTTTCCTCATAGTAAGTCTTTATTTTTTGGAAAAAGTGAAGACAGCTTAGACTCCCCAGCACTCCTAGTACAAATAATCACAGAAGCACTGGCTAGTCAGAGAAAATATGTCAAGAAAATTCTTTCCTTGATCACTCAAATGAACTGCAATACACCTTTCAGGGCCTTGCAAATTAAAACTTTCTTGGAGAAGGCACACTCGCCAAATTAAAGAAGGGGGTGAGCCCCTACCCAGCCCCTCCCATTCTAACCCCCAAGTGTGTTTTTGCCATGTAAAAGGTGCTGATTTGCTTCTAATCCGCTCTATTGCTGCTTACATGATTTTTTTTTGCATACATTGTTTTAATTTTTCTGGAAAATCGTCAACTCCTTGTGTTCACTGTAGGAATTATAAGTGCAAACCATTATATTATATTGTTCTTATGTTGTTATTACTTTTATATTTATATTTCTTATTATGTGTTCTTATTATTCTAATTATTATTTATTATTATTATATATCATTATATTCAAGGCTGTACTCTAAAAAAAATTAAAGGGAGCCCAGTGCTCTGAACTGGTGAAATCCAGTGTGCCAAGCATATGATTTCTATGAGAAAGCTAAGATTTTCTAGTTGTCCAAGAACAAAAGTTAGGCGCCATGGGCCACCAGGCTCTGCTAAGGCACAGCCTTGATATTGTTTTTATATTATTGTATTATTATATTATCAGGGTGGGTCTTACTTTAATGGTTCTTGGAGAAATAGGAAACTTTTCAGCATATGGCTTTTCTCCAGCTTCATTGGTTGCTCCCCTGGGAACCACTACTGTCATTGGTATGTTATGTTTTTCTTGTCTTTCTTTAATTACAAAAAATGAATGGAGAGGAGAAGTCGTTACGTCTTGTTATATTTACACCACGGTAGCAAGATTTCTGGATTAGAAACCAGAAACATCACTTAAAAAGTGAATTCGCACTTTATCAAACTGCATGGATCTTACCGGGTATTTAGTTTCATTTACATATAATTTGTCAAATGTTGGCAAAATTTTCTGGGATAGAATCCAGAGGGACCATCGTAAGTTAAGAAAAGAAAAAGAACATTTTTGTATTGTTTTCCTGCTTCATAAAGTGCAGTCATAATTATTATTCATCCTTGTTTCATTGCCAGTCTTATTTATGTACTTTTCCATTTAATTCTAGGCCCCGGTTCAAACGTTGAATTTCACATGTGCTGAACTTAACCCAAGAGTTAAATGCATGTGAAGTGCGACATTTGAATCAATTAAATGCAACGTTTGCCTATCTGCGACTGAAACCGTCGAAGATTTGACTTAGGTTCGACTTTTGATTCAAACGTCGCATTTCACGTGTGCCGAACTTAACGCATGAATTTTAGTAAATTATTATTATATTACTGGGAATATTGACAGCGAGCAGAGTTAAATCTGACAGAGTTCAGAGAGTTAAATTCAATGTTTGAATCAAATGCAGTATTTAACTATTTTAGTTGACTAAAATAGGAATTAATTTTGGCACATGTGAAATTTGATGTGTGAACTGGGCCTAATAGTTATTTTTTATTAATCTTCCTTTGAAGCTAATGCCATTATAGCTGTGGTGTTTCTGAGGGAAAGAGTGAGATATCAGGATGTGTTTGGTAAGTATTGTACTACTACGTGAGAAATTTCTGCAATTTGATTGGCTTAGAGCAGTGGTATTTCAGCTTAATTTGAAATACCTACATGTGAAAATTACAAACCTTTTGCTAGTAGTAGTATAAGCAAATAATAGCATGATTTGTATGTGATATTAATTATTTGGCACAAATACCGCTTGTGATATTTTAAAATTGACTCAAATTTCACTCGCCTAACGGCTTGTGAAATTACGTATAACAATTTCGAAAAATCACTCATGTTATTTATGCCAAACATCACTAATTACCTATACTAATTTCATCTGTTGATAATAATAATAATAATATCTACATTTAGATGACAATTTAGTGAGGGCACATCAACAGTGTCATTCTTTATCTACCATTCTGAATCAAATTGGAAATATTGTCATGGGTTATAATCAATGATCGATCATTTGGGTTAATCCAATAATTTCTGATTATCGATTATCTAATCTTAGTCGATTCCCAGGGTTCTCAGTAAGGGCTGGCGGCTGGCGAATTTCACCAGCTATTTCACGTGAACTCACTGCCTACTTTTCTTCAGAAATTACCCCCCAAAAAAGCCAAAATTTAATGATGTCTGTGTTCTGTTCAACACTAATTTTTGCTCCAGAATGCTGGAAATGCACTCTAAGAGGCCCATATTTCAAAAGTTTTCCCGGGGGCATGCCCCTGGATGGACCCCCCTTGTAACTCATGCAACCACCCATTAGACCAAAAAACCCCTTACTAAGATGTACAGTTGTATAAGTCCAGGGCTTACAAAAATGGACTTGTATAAGTGGCAATTTATGGCATGTTGCTTTACAAAGTAATGGTTGCTAATAACAACATATCAAACACTTTTTCTCCTTTTGCAGGTGTTACCCTTGCTATTGTTGGAGCTTTCTTGCTGATAACCTTTTCGACAAAGGTATTGTGTTTAAAAGCAATTAAAGTTAATTTAAGGAAGCAATGTTCCTACAGCAACTGTTGATGGCTAAATCAGTGGAACCATGTTGGTTTAGTAATGCTTGTAGTTTGTTTCAGAAGTCATGCTGTACTTGTTAATATTGTTTCAGTCATACCTTTTGCTTTCCTTTGAAATTTGAACCATGTCTTTTAAATCACTTATTGGAAATTTTCTGTTAAACTGCAACAGGGTTCGCACAGTCATGAAAAGTCCCTGAATTTTAGGGGAAGTCCTTGAATTCCATTTTACCCTTGAAAAGTCATTAAATTTTTCTCCTTCTTCAACTTTGAATGAAGTGGCATGAAAAGTGTTTTTTAATGCTTTTTGGTTGTCCAAGACAGAATATAATCATAGCTCAGAGAAGTTAAAGGTGATTTACATAAAGCGTTTTTTGTTTTATGCAATAATTAACTATTAATATTTTATTACAAGTGTAATGAAAAATGTAGAGAGTTTGGTGGAGCATACAGTTCAAGCTTTAAAGTCCTGTTAGAATGGACTGGGAATGTGCATTTTTGTACAATCTGTGAAATTGCTTTCCTGGTAGGAGGTCCTTGAAAAACAAATGTGGACCTTGGAAAGTCCTTGAAAAGTCCTTAAAAGATAGTTGCATTTTTTTGTATGAACCCTGAAAAAAAGAAGACACAGAGGAGTGGAAGCAGAGAAAAATCACTTTTTTATGGTAATATTTTATGATGGAAATAAATATACAGTTATTTATGTCTCAATCAGGAATTTTCAGAATTAACAGGACAGGAGTTGGCAATTTATCTGAGACAGTGGCCCTTCCTTATCTACTTGGTATGGTATTATAGTTTATCAAATAAATTAATGGTGCTTTTGTTTGTAGGATGGTTATAATATTCAGCGTGCAAAGAAAGTTGTGTCTGATAGCCCGGGGCTAGTGGATTTTGCTGTCGGGCTAGTGATTTTTGTTCTTAACTTGCCCGATGGGCAAGAGCTGTTTTGGGGGGAAATTCAAATTACAGAAGGATTGTAATCCATCCTGCCAATCAATGCTAGCTACAGCTTGCCTGAATGGCAGGCTGTAAAACTGACTTTCTTTGTACCCTGATATTGTTACATGGTTTCAGGCATCCCAGACCTCCTATGTTTCCTATTTATCCTATAATTTGTATAAGATCCTATAAAGAGCCTATATTTCAAAAAATCCTGTATTTTCCTATAAATAGGACATATTCTGATATCTGCATTTTGCACTGTGAAGCAATTTTGTTGTGTTGTTTTAACAAAATCAAAATTCTGTATCAGTGGAAATGGTATTTTTTAAATTTTTTTAAAATTTTTTATCCTATTAAGAGCCTATATTTTGGCAGAAAATTCCTATATTTTCCTATATTTTGAACTTAACAGCCTATTTTTCCTATCAGATTTTCCAAAAAGTGGCTGGGATGCCTGTGGCTTGTAAAGACTTGAAAAGCACTTCAGCCACCGTCTCATAAAATCTTGGCATCTTACTTGAGTTGTGGAAGAGTTCTTGAACTTTATATCACAGGGTTTGCAAATTTTATTGATGAGTGGAGTCGGTGTGACTCTGCTTCACAAATTTTGGAGTCATTTTAGAATATTTGGAGTCAAGTATCACAACGAAAAAAGCCATTTTCAGACTTTCCAGCACGTGGTCGTGGCATGTATACACTATCGTGAGGTATACGCGAAGTAGCTGTGGCAGTCCGCTGACCTGGAAAGCTCAAATCCATGATGGCCATCATCGAGTAAACTTTGAGCGTAATTTACCCTCTTCCTGTTTTGTCGTGCAGTATAATATTATTTAATTTCGATGATTTAATTAAGGTTTACAACGTTTACAATTAATGTAAATTGTACTTGTTGTGAAAAAGGTGAGGACAAAACTGTGTTTGTTACCGAAAATTTCTGGAGTCGAAGTGACTCCCTCCGTAACCTCAGTGGAGTCATCTGAACAATTATTTTGGTGTAAAATACACAGTTGCAAAATAGTTCTTTCTCTACCTTTCTCAAAACAAATACAATCTATCTGAACTGCAGACATTTGAAACCTGATTTAAACAGACTAATTTACGGTATATTCTACATGAAGAGGCTAAATTACAATGAAGAAAACTCGAACAATGATCACCATCATGGATTTAAGCTTTTTGAGGTCAGTGGACTTTCACATGAGGCCGCAGCTACTTTATGTTTCCATCATGATTGCGCATACTTGCCAGAGCCATGCACTGGAATGGCATCCGTGTCGAAAAGACCAAGGGAAGAACCATTGAAGGAATATCACATTGCTTTTTCCGTTGTGTTAGTTGACTCCAAATATTCCATAATGACTCCAAAGTTTGTGAAGCAGAAGTCACACTGACTTTACCCATCAGCAAAATTTGCAAACCGTGTTATTGTATGTGGATTTTAGGACTTAAAGGGTAAATGTAAAAGTATAGTAGAAAAGCCTGCCAGGAAGTTGAGAAAATTTCAGTATGTTAAGTCTGTGTATGTGTTGAATATAAGCCTTGACAGCAGTAATTTGAACTTGTTTTCAGGCTCTGGAAGCTGTGATATTCTGTGGCTTACTGTTTGCTCAGTGGCGCTATCAGTTGGAAAATGTTGTTATATTCCTTCTTCTTGTGGCATTATTAGGTACTTTTTTTTATTGTAACAATAATATTATTGGATTAAGCTGTTCCATGTATCAATGTGATTTTTAAAATGAATTGCATAAACTGAGGGGCCCTCCGTTGTGACTGCTAACAGCAGCATAATAATTCTGGCTATTGCATTGGTGTGTAAATTTTCTAAAATACAGTGTTTGATCCAGAAACAACAGATCTTAACATGATATAAAATTATTTATTTTATAAACACCAATGAGCTTTTGTGCAAAAACATGATATCTTCACATGTAAAAATAACATTTTAACTTCACACATGAAAAGATCAGTGTTGCTATGGCTACAAATAGTTTGGTATTTCATTGGTGTGTAAAAACATTACATAGCCGCTTGGAGATACAAAATTTATTTTTGAGTATTGAAAAATATATCAATTGTTTACTGTGCTCAAACCCAAAGAGAAATTTTGTATCTTTGCTCGGCCAAGTAATATCCTCTATTTTTTATATAAACACCAATGAAATACCAGGTGAGCTTTTGTGCGAAAACTTGATATCTTCACATGTGAAAATATCACCTTTGCTATGGCTACATAATAAATTGTGCCTTTCACAGCAAAAAACTATTAAAGTGAAATGGTTTGGTATGTCATTGGTGTTTATATAATAAATAGAACATTACATGGCTGCTTGATATGAAATTTTCACTCGTTCGCTGCGCTCACACGTGAAATATTTTTCAACACTCGAAGAGAAATTTCATATCTCCTCACAGCCATGTAATATCCTCTATGTATCCACCACATAATGTTGCTTATTAACATTACATGTGAAGTTGATGTTTGTCTTAGTGCTAATGCTCAACATTATTCTTTTGTGCAGGCTCACTTACTGTCATCTCAGCAAAGGCTGTGTCTTCCATGATTAATATAACCCTAAGTGGGAACAGTCAGCTAGGACACCCATTGTTGTATGTTATGCTGATTGTGATGATTTCAACTGCCATCGCTCAAGTCAAGTAAGTCATGTTGTGCAGTACTGTCACTCATCTCTTTTTTCACTAATTGAAGGGTAGCATGGAATAGAGTGTAAGGCCTCAGGTGTCCCCTGATCTAATGCATGGTTCTCTGGAAGCTCCAGTAAAGGGCAGAGGTGGCTATCTAATTGCCATGAATGTGCTGGCTACTCATTGAAAACACTTACTGTAAATCCTCTATTAAGCTATTATTATTATTATTTTTTTCAAGCACCTTTGAGGGGGGGGGCGGAGTGGCATATTTAATTTAGCTAAACGCATCAACAGGAGCAAGGTTTCTTGAGGATGGACCTGTGGTTCCCGGGCGTTATACTGCTTTTTTAACAATAAGAAAAAATAATAATTAAATGGTAACAATTCTCCACAGAGAACTGGAGCATAAAGTTGAAAAAGTTAAGCACATGAAGTTGGAGGTCGTGCAGCCAAAGACCAAAAACAATATCAGGGTTGTCACTAAGATTTCAAGTTGCCGGGTAAATACAACAAGTAGGCGGTGAATCAAACGGCTAGGGATTTCTTTTGGTTTTATTTTTCTTCTATTTTCCAATGAAAGTAGCCGGGGGCCACTCTCTTAGTAGCCGGGGAAAATCCCCGGCCCCCGGCTCTTAATGACAACCCTGCAATATGAATCTCCAGCCTGAATAAACCATAACTGATCAGTCCTAGTTAATTTTTTGTGAAGAATAAGGATGGAGAGGAAGAGGAGTGGGGGTCTTAATAGAGAGGCGGGGCTCATTAACTTTCCTCCTCTGAAAACGAGGTTTATGGTATTTTTTCATCCAATGTTTTTGCTCAAAAAAGTAAATCCAAGTGAATAAACTTGTTGCTGTCCTCCATCTCCCTGATTGCTCAAAATAGACTGAAACTGCATATTTTTCAGGACCCTCAAAATCAAAATTTCCCCTTGGGAAGCCCCCTAAACTCCCCTAATCAAAGAGGGGTACCCCCTTCCCATACCTTCCCCTTCAAGTGGGTGCACTGCATGAAAGGTACTGTGCCTTTGATCTACCTACTTAATTTTTCTCTTTCTACTTCTAATTTTCTGAAGAACCCAAAATTCAAAAGGCAAATTGGAAGGTGAATCCACCTACTATTAACGCCAAAATTGCGTTTTATACTTATAGTACATCCAGTTCAAAGTAAAATTTTCAAGAGTTATGATTGGCAGAAGTGTACTTAAGCTAGTGAATTGAGATTTTACGTAATATGCATGTAGCTTTCCGATTTGTAGTTAGTCAGATGGATCTTTTGTTTTTATTAATAGGGGATTATATTTGTTTTCCTTTTTTTCCAGATTTTTGAACCGAGCCATGCAGTCCTTTGATGCTACTGTTGTTGTTCCCACAAATTTTGTTTTGTTTACAATTAGTGCTATAATAAGTGGTAAGCTTCTTTTTTTAAAATCAATATTTATCCAGGGGCATCCAATTTAGCAGAGCTAGTTTAAATGGAGCCCTGACAAAACACGAAAACAAAGACATTAAAACTAGACAATTAAGTTACAAAGGCGACATGAACCGCAGGCGTTACTGTTTAACATGGCACTTTAGCTTTATTTTGAATTCGCTGAGCGTCTCAACCTGTCTAATGATTCTCGGTAGGATGTGGTAGGTCCGAGCACCGTTTATTCTGAAGCGACTTGAAGTTAAGAAATGAAAGATGTATACATGTTGTTAAGAATTCACCATCTTGACTTTAAGAATCCTTGAATGCCAGGACTGCTTGGGAAATCCTTTTCTTAAGTCTTGAATTTCTTGTAGAATATGATGCAGCAAGCAAGAAATGAATGTGGTTAATGATAATGAATTCATGAATAAAGTCCATAGCGATACCCTTGACCTGACATGAGTGTAATATTAATTCTTAGATAAATAAAGAATCAAATGAAGATATGTTTTCTTAATTTTAGGTATTGTTTTATATAAAGAATTTTATGGGCTTACATTCTTGGAAATATTTATGTTTCTATTTGGGTGAGTATCTTTTGTCTTTGTTACCAGTTAGTTACGTTGATGTTAATGTCTCAGTAATGACGCAAAAAGAAGCTGTGTCCGGGCGGTCTTGTTCATTTTGACTATACGTATCTTTATGCGCTATGGAACTTAATGCCAGAAAAGAAATTACTTGAAAACGATAAAATGAAAGCTTCCTGTTCAACCAATATGCCTTCTAAGCGTTATATCAAACGTTACAAACAACGAAAGTGATTTTTGAAAAACTGTTAGGCTAACAATTTCAAAACCCTTGATTGCAATTTGTTTGAATCTTCTTCAACTTTGTCCATCGTTACCTTCTTTGTATTTTCGTTGTTATTTAGATCTTTCTTTTAGCGTAGTATGGGATGGGAAACTTTAGCTGTACTAGGTCTGGTGTAGGGTAAGGTTTCCAGGGTCCTAGCAGTAAATCCCCACCCAAAAATTCCTAAAGTACCCCCACGGATCGTAATACCATACAATTTCACCCACAGTCAGTGTGACAATAAATCTTTCCATAGCTGGTCTAGAGTGAAAGTATAGACAATTATAATTTATAATTTTGAAACATTGATTTTCCTTTACAGATGTGTATTGTCATTTATTGGAGTGTATTACATTACATCTGAGAGAAAACAGGAGGAGTCAGAAGAGCAGTTGCTCCTCACAAATGCCGACCTGTTTCCTGGTATGTTTAGCATTGGGTTGCAGGGGTTTCAATAAGCACCGACCACCGACCAAACGCGTCGGCTACTTTGCTCATTAAGGTCGGCTACTTTTTTCTAGAAAGAAGAAGCAACTAGTTTGAATAACGTTGTAAACAAAAAATATATCATAACATCTGAATGAAGACGTAATTATGATGTGTTTTCAGAAAGGCCCACTGGTTTTACCTTATGGTTTAGTCTTGTGAACGATATATTTCAGTCATTTTTTCGCAAGTTTCTTTATAGGTTTACGCAGAATTTGTTTACGTGGAAAAGTACTTAATTTAATTTTCATCATTGTCCATTGCCTCTAGGAATTAATCGTGTGACTGATAAATTGAAAGCTACTTTTTCTTCAATTAAAAACACGCCCTTTCCTCCTCAAATTTAGTCCCCAGAATGCTGAAAATCGCATTTTAGGGTTTTGGAATTTCAAAGTTTTGCTGGGGCAGAACGCGCCCAGACCCCCTTCTCTTCCCCCCCTCCCCCCTCCCCCATAATAAACGGCAACTAACGGCCCCTTGTTGATACGGTCGGTTACTCTATTCAAACCTGCTGGCTACTTCAATTTTTATTGAAACCCCTGAGGTTGGGTAAACTGAGATGAACTCAACTATTCTTTCTTTGTGCCTTTAAAGGCCGATTTACACGGTACAACTCTTTCGTATGCACTTACGATAGGATTACAACAAGAGTTTCATTGTCCCCTTTTCGACTTCTGCAGCACAATTCATTGTACCTCTTTAAATACCTTTTTAAAAACTCTGCCCTCAAAACACAATACATATGCTTTATTTACCAAGCGTCAGGTCAAGATGGCGGTATACTGGCCAGGTTCTTTTTTGGTGTGAGACGAAGTTGAGGTCAATAAAAGCGTAAAACAGAACGAGGCCAGTATCCAGCCATCTTGACCGAACAAACTTAGTCAATAGAGAATTTATTATACCGTGAAAAAGAGAATTTTTTTTCTTGCGGGACCAAGGCGGGAAATCCCGAGCGGGCAAGATAGTCCCATCTTGCCTGCTCGGGTAGCCAATCAGAACGCAGGATTCGCGGATTCAGCCATGTAATAAATTTGCCTTATCAACCAACTGTGAGGTCAGGATATCTCGATGTTGGCCAAGGTCCATAAAAACGCCAAAAAAAAAAAAAAGAAGAAGAAGAATGATCCAAGAAGAAACCGTTTTTGCTCACTTGTCGATCCGCGATTAAATTAGACTACGAGTAGTCCCCCATTTTTCCTCAGGGATAGTAGAGCGAACAAAACGCGAGCGCGCGTGAAAATCAACCCACGCGAGAAAAGGCGACACGCGACGAGGAGAGAGAAAAAAGTGTCGCCTTTTCTCGCGTGGGGTGATTTTCACGCGCGCTCGCGTTTCGCTCGCTCTACTATCCCTTCGGAAAAATGGGGGACTACTCGTAGCCTACGATTGAATGAGAGGTTATTTTTCTTGTCAGGATTCTTATCCTTGTCGTCATCAAAGCTTATTGCAGTTCAGCCAAGCAATATGTTGACGGCATCTCATGTTGAGTATCCCATGCTGCCTGGCAAGCCTACATATGAATCAACCGCTGACACACAGCAGTCTCAGGGAGAAACGTAGTCCGCGCCGCTCAGGTCAGCGTTGTCGTGGAACAGCAGGGGTCAATTTAATATAACTTTTACAAGTGTAATTTACAAGTGTGGCTATTGTTTTCAGACTCTAAAACAATGGCTGCACTTGTAAATTACCCTGGTAAAAGTTTTATTAAAATTGACCCCAGAATTCGTTAATTAAATTATATCTGCTTTAAACGTGATATTCATAGGGTTTTTTTTATATATAAAAAGGTGGTTTTTTCCTTTTGCCCTAAATGCGCGTATATGGAAAGTAGAATATGGATCCAGTAGTAAATTATTTGTTTCAATTGTGTAACGTTGTATACAAACTTCTCCACTGTGGAAAAGTTTAACTTAAATGGGTTATTGAAGATCTCTGAATCAGATAGGCTCGAGAATTCAGTAGGGCAGTGAAGAAAACGTACATAATGCAGAGCTGCAAAGAGTCGGCCTTTGGACAATGTCCGACGAAAGTTGGCCCATCTCCGAAGAAATTCTATCTGCGGCCAGACCTGTAGGGTTGTTCAGTGAGGGTCACAAAAACCTGGGTTTTGTCCTCTCTAGAATTCAATCGCGCTTTGTTGTTCATAGTAGGGTCTTTAAGATCCAACGACGCGACCGCAACGAGAACGTGAAAAAACAATAGGTTTAGTAAGCAAAACAACAACTTTGCACGTGCATTACACTTTTGGTACATTTCTTTGCCGTTTCTGCACGACTACGACGTGAAAATGCCTAATTTCGCGTCTTAAGGTGATGTTACACGGGACGATTCACAACGACGATTTTTAGCGCAATACAGCGCTGCAATGTTGGAACAATGTTGTAACTATTCGAAACAATGTTGCAACAATGTTGCAACACCGAGTTGCGCTAAAAATCGTCGTTGCGAACCGTCTCGTGTAACATCACCTTTACGGAGAACCTAAACAAGCAACGACGAAATTTGATTTCTCTTTCTGAACTTGGATATGGTTCCTTAGAATTCAACTTCAGGAGGGTTCGCCTACATTCGACGAAGTAAGTGGGTAGGAATAATCGCGATAAAGACTGAAAGAACGCAAATTCACTTTTTAAGCGACGTTCTCGTTGCCGTCGCGTCGTTAGATCTTAAAGTCGCCAGTTAATATCTTTTAATCCACGTATTGTCAGTGAGGTGTATATGTATGGTCTGTATTGACAGAGCAAAGAATTGTATATAATTTTATTACGGTGTAGTTTTATTTGAAGGATAGCACTATATTCTCCGGAATGGAAATGGACGCTTAAGTTATTACTTACACGTGTTATTCGACTTGTTACCTTATTAATTATTACTAATTTTCGCGAGTTTCAACATCTCATAAAACTCGTGAAATTAAAGACACGCGAAAAACGGAGCTTCTCTCTTATTAGAAGCTTTTTGCGAAGGTTAGTTGCTTTTAACAAGGTAGCACTTAAGAAAAAACAGAGACTGCTCATAGTCTAGGTAGCCTTACGAAATCGTGAAAAGTGTCCCAAAATCTGGCTATTCCCACTTCCATTTCGCGCCGGCAAGTGCTCGCGAAAGTAGCAACAAAAAAGTGGTAACTAAAATAACCGTAATGTTTCATTTCTCTAATGAGTCAAGAGAAGAATTTAGGTTATGTTATTTAAATCCATGTGAATGGAACAAACAAGTATTATTTTTATTGTAAAGCACACATATTGGAATATTATTTTGTTTGTTTGACAGTACAATAAAATGCCTATTAAAACAAGGTAGTATTCTTTTGGTTTAATTTCAGAGCAATTTAGGGGCTTCGATCCTCCCAACACATTACACTTGACACAATAAACTAAAGTGTGAGATGCTGGCCTTAAATTTTCTTTCGGGGAGGGGCTGGGAGATATTGCAGTTTTCGACATGCTCCCATACTCTTTGAGGAAACCCCTTAGAATTACGCTCACGACGAACGTGAAATTGTAGCATGTGACCAAGTTGTCCTTTGACCTGTCGTTCATTTTTATTTTTATCCACGCGAAAACACAATTTTTATCTGTTCATTTCGTAATCCGAGAAATTGTGAACTTGACGTGATTCTAAATTTTTTTTTTTTTATCATTTACGAAACGTTTCCAGAAAATCCAGTTGGAAAATAAAAGGAACACAACTTTTTGGGTCGTTCGGGCGGAAAATTTCCGGGAGCAACGGAATTTCTGAGAAGGTAAAAGAAGCGGACCGTCGACCTTAAGCTTATCAGTTGAATTAAACTGTCACGAGTTATCGACGTACGGTAAAATATGGTTCCTCTACCTTTAAAGTTTTTGAGGGACTTCATATTAATTATCAAAGCACTCTCCCAATGAAGTGAAAAATAATAAAACGTTCTGTATTCAATTCCAGACCGAACGATTCATTTTTTAGACCACAACGGTTGACCAAATTATAGATCAGACGAAAAGCCTCAAAAGGAATCAATACTCCTACCCATAGCGCCGTCTATATTTATATTAGTGTTCAGCCAATATTTTGGGAGAACTCCGGGTGAATTTTCTAAACAGCTTTCCCAATCTTACTTTTAGAACATCAGAATTAAAAAATAATAATAATAATAATGGTTCAGTTTTATTTTATAGAAGTTATTCTAATCAAACTATGCGTTTCACTTTCAAAGCCACAAAGGTTTCGGCGAGATGATCTCATGAATCACATTTGCCTTAAATATATTATCACCTTATACCCTATTGATAACATGAATATACAAAGGCTTTATTAAGTAACAACTTTCGGTTTTCAAAGAGGATGTCAACACACATCCCTCACTTTCGTTCGATCTCAAGTGACTGCCCAAATTGCTATTTATTCAGACGACGCCCAATTCATATCACCATATCAGGAAGTGGCTGAGAGAAAGAGTTGCGGTGAAACAAATCCGAAAATTCAATCTTCACTGAGAATACAGGTAAGCAAAATTAATTTATAAATCAATTCACATGACAATTTTTTGTACTAAGACAGCAAATATTGTGCATGTTTAATGCTATGTTATTTTGCACCTTCTTCCGTTAGGTTTCCTTCTATTTTGACACTTAATTATTCTTAAATTTTTCACGAGGACAAAAGCGGGAACCTGAATGTGGTGCAAGACACGTTACTTGAGAGCTTAAAAGTTTCTGTGGAGTTAGCCTTTGATAGATTGTTCTCGCAGTCGTAATATGCTACTAGCAGTGCTCGTATATTTGTAAATTTATGCCAGTAACTGCTAGGTTTTGTAAATTATGCTCATTTTAGCAGAAAATACAGAAATTATGCATCTAATTTCCACTTTAATTAGTAAAAACACCTCAAAAACTATGCATATGCAACAAACTAGTACACGACAAAAACAATTACCCTATTTACATCATTGTGCGCATGTGTGGAGCGCAGGTCATGATGGATGTCACAATAAGCAGACAAAAATTGATTTTGTTACTTAGATTTGCTTGTAATACTGGTCTCGGGCCAAAAGGAATTGGTTGTGTGATCAATAAATGACAATTTTGTGCTGTAAAACTAGCCAAAGTGTAACTGATTATGCTACCAGTGTTTTCTCCGGAAAATAGATGAAAACTATGGCCAAGAATTATTCCAAAAATTATGTTAGCACAATCCGTCAAAGCCTATGAAAAACCCTTTTAATGTAAACGCTCAAAGGTCATGATAACGAAAGAAGTTCTGGTTGCACCAACGAGGTTGTCGTATTGCCTAGTTTTTAGACAAAAAAAATTCAGTAAGTGTTTGATATGCTTGGGCCGAGTCGTAAGGCAGAATTCAACTTATTGTATTTACTTTGTTAACCTCCACCATCTTCCTTTGCGTCGATATTCTCATCGTCTTTTCCCATGCACACTAACAAAAAGCGTTAATAATTAAACCAGTTTTAATGAAATATAATTGAGCGACATAAACTGAACCTAAATAGCTAGCTTTTTAAAACAAATTAAATAATTCAAGTCAGTTTTCACAAGTTTTTTTTTTACTGAACACTATATATCAATAAGACATTTTTTAAAAAGGAAAAAAAATTAAGAGTGTTACAATGTTTTAGCTTTGGTGTAAATAGGGCGTACGAATCTGTTGTTTATCGTAGAATACTTTTCCTCTCGACTTTCCCAGTATACCAGTAATATGAATTTCGCAAAATTTACTTCCGGTTACTACGAAAAAAAAAATTTCCGTTAAAAATCTATAGGGTACGCACGTTAGGGAAAATTACTGCATTAATTTTCGTTTAACCCAAAATTGTGAGAATGGATATGTGAGAGGTTTACTAATGACGCATGGCGTGTCATGATAGCAAGATAGTGTACCGCAACCAAAAACTGAAGCAACCTACATGTAGAAAACGAAGCCATGCACTCTTCAGGTTTCAAACAAACCTCCTGCAGCTTGAAAACGAAACAGTCTTGTAAGTGGAAAACGAAAAACCACGGAGGCCCAAAAAATGTTTAGCGTTTGGCTCTCAAACAACTATGTGTTGGCCTCATGTAAATTTTTGTTGCTGAAACCTTAAAAGTTTTTTAAAGGACATTGGTTATAATTTTTTTCTAGGCGTATTTTACGTAAAAGGTGATTGGCAAAATAGAAAAACCCTTCCCCAACCCCACCCTCGCCGCCAAAAACTGATTTAGTCTACTTAAAAAAGTAAACTGGAAATCGACGTTTGAAAATCCATTCTCTGTTGACAAGGAACGAGATTTATCAACTTAATCATCCCCTCTCTTCATCCATGACCAGTGCTGAGTCTGATCGTTCTGCTGAATTTTTCCCAGATCCAGAGAATTCATAATGGCGGAGAGTAAAATTAAAGCAAAGGGTGAGAGTAATGACAAATCAGCGGGGAAGCAAGTTTTGGAAGTTGACGAAGCAACTTTAAAAGGTAAGGAGACTTAAAAATGGTGATATTGAAGGCTTTCTGCCAAAAGGCCTTCCTACCAAATAAACAACAATCCTGAAATATGCGACATTGAAATTTTCTAACGTCATATTTCAAACAGCCTGCGTACCTTCAATACAGGCGAATCTTTGTTTACATTTTCTGCCTCATTAACATATGCTCATCATTATCCGATGAAGCTAATAAAATAAAACCCTGAAAATTGAAAAAGTATAACAATTTCAGTTATCTCTGAAAATTAAGCCCGATAAACCGAATGGTTTCGGAGAAATTCTCCTTTAAAAACTAGAAATTTCTCAAAGAATGTATTAGATGGCTCATTAACTTTTTTGCCACCCAGCAATTTCGCAGTTTTAGATGACTGATATTTCCTTCAACATTGCTTTTAATAAGCAGAAAATTTCACAAATTGTTTTAGTTAATCAGCTATTTCAATTTTTGAATTTAGTTGGTATATTCGGCCACAGCTTCTTTGTGTTAAGTCGTCCGCTAATCCGGAAAAATGTAAACAATGACGTCAGCAAAGATTCGTCTTTACAGCGTGCAGACGGGCTATACTAACGGGTCAGCTGAACGGAGATTGAATTTGAACTCAACAAGTGAAACAACCTGCCTAAAAAAAACCCCCAAATCTCTATTTCAACACGGTAAAAATTCATCAGGTTTTTTTTGGTACAATATACAAAAAATATACAAAGTAAACGAGTAAAGAATGCATTAAGCTCCCTTTGGTACACTAATAATATTCCCGATATTTCATTTGATTCATTTTTAGCAATAGCAGAGGTGTTCAATAATGAAGGTAATGAAGCATACAGTAAAGAAGATAACAGCAATGCCCTTTACTTTCATACGGAGGGAATTAAAGTGAACTGCAAGGACGAAGAACCCCTTGCTGAACTGTACGGTAACAGGGCGGAAAAGACGACTTTCAAATGTTCAAAGTTTACCGGCATATTAAAATACGTATGCTTACGATTGTCCAGACAAGGGTACAGTCGACTCTCTATTAACGGACACCTCTATAAGACGGACACCTCTGTAAAATGGACACATAGAGTTGGTCCCTGCCTTTCTTTACTCCCTTTATTTGACTCTCTATAAGACGGACATCTCTCTAAGACGGACACTTAGTGCCGGTCCCAAAGATGTCCGTGTTAGAGAGAGTTCACTGTACATGCCATGCAGTACATTTCAAATGTTCTTTTTCGCCATGACTATCATAACAACGTTTAAAAGATTTTTTTACTCTTTCTTTGTTCATTGACTGTTGAAAAAAAAAAAGATTCATTTCGGGTAGGTGGAGAAGGGTGGAAGTACAAGATTTGAGCAATCAGCATAAATACGTCTGTATCACATCATGGCTCTCCTGATTTACGTTATTACGTATTTACACAATTTCAGGTGATTTCCCAAAAGAAAACGATTTCCTTCAGAAGGATGTCAGTACCGCAAAAGAGATTGAAAATAAAAGATCAGAAGGAATGGGTTACATCAAGCTTGGCTGTGTGTGTCGTGACTCTCGCTGTGATTTCAGAAAAGCAATCGAGTTCAATCAGCAAGGTCTAGTTATCGCTAAGGAGGTCGGAGACAAAGAGTTAGAAGGAAAGGCGTATGGGCACCTTGGTCATGCGTATTCTTCTCTTTGTGATTTCCCAAAAGCAGTCGAGTTCTATCAGAAGGAGGTCAGTATCGCAAAAGAGATTAATAATAAAGAATCACAAAAAGAGGGATACATCAAGCTTGGCGTTGTGTACTGTGACGACCTCGGTGATTTCAGAAAAGCAATCGAGTTCTTTCAGCAAGGTCTAGCTATCGCTAAAGATGTCGGAGCGAAAGAATCAGAAGGAAGGGCGTATTGGAACCTTGGTATTGCGTATTCTTCTCTCTACGATTTCCCAAAAGCAATCGAGTTCTATCAGAAGAATGTCAGTATCTCAAAAGAGGTTGAAGATAAAAAATCAGAAGAAAAGGGATACATCAACCTTGCCTGGGTGTATTCCTCCCGTGGTGATTACAGAGAAGTAATTGAGTTCTATCAGCAGGGTCTAACTATCGCTAAAGAGGTCGGAGACAACGAGGCAGAGGAGAGGGCGTATTGGAAGCTTGGTGGTGGGTATGCCTCTCCCCATGATTTCCCAAAAGCAGTCGAGTTCTATCAGAAGGAGGTCAGTATCGCAAAAGAGATTTATAATAAAGAATCACAAAAAGAGGGATACATCAAGCTTGGCGTTGTGTACTGTGACGACCTCGGAGATTTCAGAAAAGCAATCGAGTTCTTTCAGCAAGGTCTAGCTATCGCTAAAGATGTCGGAGCGAAAGAATCAGAAGGAAGGGCGTATTGGAACCTTGGTATTGCGTATTCTTCTCTCTACGATTTCCCAAAAGTAATCGAGTTCTATCAGAAGAATGTCAGTATCGCAAAAGAGGTTGAAGATCAAAAATCAGAAGAAGAGGGATACATCAACCTTGCCTGGGTGTATTCCTCCCGCGGTGATTACAGAGAAGCAATTGAGTTCTATCAGCAGGGTCTAACTATCGCTAAAGAGGTCGGAGACAAACGGACAGAGAACATGGCGTATTGGAACCTTGGTGGGTCTCTTTATGATTTCCCAAAAACAATCGAGTTCTATCAGAAGAATGTCAGTATCGCAAAAGAGATTGGAGATAAAGAATCAGAAGGAGACGGATACATCAACCTTGGCGTTGTGTACTGTGACGACCTCGGTGATTTCAGAAAAGCAATCGAGTTCTTTCAGCAAGGTCTAGCTATCGCTAAGGAGGTCGGAGACAAAGAATCAGAAGGAAGTGCGTATTGGAACCTTGGTATTGCGTATTCTTCTCTTTATGATTTCTCAAAAGTGATAGAGTTCTATCAGAAGAATGTCAGTATCGCAAAACAAGTTGAAGATAAAAAATCAGAAGAAAAGGGATACATCAACCTTGCCCGGGTGTATTCCTCCCATGGTGATTACAGAAAAGCAACTGAGTTCTATCAGCAGGGTCTAACTATCGCTAAAGAGGTCGGAGACAAAGAGACAGAGGAGAGGGCGTATGGGAAGCTTGGTGGTGCGTATGCCTCTCTCTATGATTTCCCAAAAGCAATCGAGTTCTATCAGAAGAATGTCAGTATCGCAAAAGAGATTGGAAATAAAAAATCAGAAGAAATGGGTTACAACTGGCTTGGTTGTGTGTACTGCGACGACCTCGGTGATTTCAGCAAGAACTAGCTATCGTTCAAGCGTTTGAAGAAATAAGGGATCTCCAAAACAAAGATGAATGGAAAATCAGGTTTCACGAAGGATATGAAGTTTATTCTTCTTTATGGTGTCCTCTTTTAGCAAAAGGCAAGATCACCGAGGCACTTTTTACAGTTGAACATGCACGAGCACGAGCTCTCAGGGGCCTTATGGAATCAAACTATGGAGTGAAATCGGCCCCGTCATCTTCGGAAGACCTAATAGAAAGAATGTCTCGTATTTCAAGCCATAATTCATCATCAACGATATTTCTTGCGGAACGCTACGAGACGTTGAATTTCTGGGTACTACTGAAGGGACAGCAGTGTCAGTTTGTGCGAAAAGAAATCAATCAGACCTTGACCAGTTTGAAGAACGAAACATACAAACAAATTGGTGTGAGAGGTTTCAGATGCGAGGAACGCTTCTTGGACGATCCTTTAGATGAAGAGAAGAAAGGGTTGCCTGATAGGGCTAGTACAGAAGAGAAAGAATCAACGTCATCGCAAGAAGATTTAAAAGCATTGTCTGACGTAGTGATCGCTCCGATTTCACACTTGATAAAAGGTGACGAGCTTATCATTGTCCCCGATGGTCCATCTTTTTTGATTCCTTATGTTGCCCTTGTAGACCAACATTCCAGATTTTTGTCTGAAACGCTGAGAATTCGCATGGTCCCATCGCTAAGCATTTTAATGCTTTTGGAAGAGTGTCCGGAAAAGTATCATAGTACATCTGGTGCACTGCTGGTTGGAAATCCGTGGGTGGAAACTGTGCGCCTTAAAGGCTGCAGACCGTTTCCGCAGCTCCCTGGTGCCGAGGAAGAGGTAAAAATGATTGGACAGATACTTAACACTGAGCCCCTCACTGGAAAGAATGCCACAAAAGATCAAGTGTTAAGCAGGCTCAACTCAGTGTCCTTAGTCCACATTGCAGCTCATGGTCATCAAGAAACCGGTGAAATTATCTTGTCTCCCAATCTTCCTGGTTCCAAAAGGCCCAAAGAGGAAGACTTTCTTTTGACGAGGGCAGATGTATTAAACGCCAAATTGCACGCCAAGCTTGTTGTCCTGAGCTGCTGTAACAGTGGGAGGGGGGAAATCAACTCAGAGGGCGTGGTTGGAATTGCACGTGCCTTTCTGGGAGCCGGTGCGCGTTCTGTTATTGCTTCACTGTGGGCAATTGACGACAAGGCCACTCTGGCGTTTATGGAAGTCTTTTACGAGCATTTAGCGGCAGGGCAAAGCGCAAGTACGTCCCTCCACCAAGCCATGAAATGGATGCGAAAGTGTAAACTTTTCATGGCTGTGAAGCAGTGGGCGCCATTTATGCTGATTGGCGATGACGTGACATTGACTCTGGGCCAACAGAGGTGAGTTTCTTGCTCCAGGGTAATGCAAAATATATAATGATAACGTGTTAATGTACTAGTCGAGGTAAAAGAAAAGCAAGTCTGCTAATGAAACTGAGACAAAGGACCCATAGTTATTCCACATTCAGGGGAGAGTACGAGAATCACGCTGTACGAAGTAAATGTAATAATCACCAAAAAAGGAACTACTGCTCTTGCAGTTTTCATAGATGTGCCAAAATCCAAAAAAGACGATATACAGTGGTATACAACCACACGACTAAAATGAAGGGAATCAAATGGAAATCAGCCTTTAAGCGAATGTATACTTCTCATGGATAACTCCCGTGGACAAGCTTCTTAGAAATGTGTGTTGCGTAGCTGCGTTGTTAGCTGTGAAATCAGTGAAAATTATCATATTTATCAACTGAATTGATATGGTGACTCGACCATGGTCAGGACCCATTCTAAACCTAACGCATTTCTTCGGAATGAATTAAGGAAGAATAGGTTCTATGTGGTTGAAAAATTTTTAGTAGCGAAGACACAATACTGCTGACAGTAATTTAAGCTAAGTCTCCTTCTTTATATTTTTCAGTGACGTTCCAGCCACAATGACTGATCATTAAACATTGACAAGATGTTGCGTCTGCAACCCCATGCTCGTTCATGACGGCTTTCATATGTAGTGGATGAAAATTTTATTTCTAATTGTCAAAGCTTGTGCATATTTGTTTATATATAGTTTTAGAGTAAAGGTGATGTTACACGAAATGCTTTGTAACGACAATTTCTAGGACAATAATGGTGTAAAAAGTCCAAACAAGGTCGCAAAAATGATGCAACGCTTCGCTGCACCGAAACTTGTCGTTACCAATACTCTCTTTAACAGCATGGCCCTAAGTTGTTTGGAAACAAATTTTGTATTACTTTTAAAATAACAATAATAATGCAGCCTGAAGTGCTCAGAAAGGAACTGCTGATCTATGTAGAGATGCATCTAACCACAAGGTCCAGAGGAGTTTCGTGTGAATAAATTAATTACTTATTTAAAGTCTCACCTTGAAAAATGTCTATACCTGTCGCTTAGCACGATCAATTAGCCCAATGGGATCTTTATAAATCTACTGTTAACGATTTCTTCGCTTCTTATCTGACCCACATCGACTTTTGAAAATCAATAGCCCCAAGCCATATCCTCGCCGATCTTGCGAGCCCTCAGTCTCTTGGTTTGCGGTCTGTGGAATGTGTAACGAAACTGTAACGCGATCAAAATAACCCATTTTTTCAGAGGTTTTCGACGGGTTTTGATGTTCTAACGACAAACACATCTCCTCTGGACCCTGTGATATAACTAAGGCTATTTTCACACCATATCGGGTAGCTCTTGCGCAGGCGCGAAAACCATACCGGATAGGGCCACTGTTCACACATAAGAACGGTGATTTCCGCGCAATTACTGGAACGGAACACTGATCTTGAAACTGGAACGGCACATATGAGATAGATTCAGTGCCATACTTTGGTGCAGCGTGAACACTGAGGTGTTCGGACTGTTACGGGAGGATCACGGGAGTGAATAAGTGGGAGCGAGGACTGGAGTCCACTGAGACGGAAAAAAAATATTCAGGAGATAGGACTGGGATTTAGTTCACCAAGCCCTCTCGGTCAACAGCTTTGGTACGATGTTCTATGTGTGTGAACGAGTTGTTCCAGTTCTGGATCCGCGTTGCTGATCATTCTTTACCGGATGTATCAACAGAGTGGATAGCTTATCCTGTGTAGTGTGAACAGAGGCTAAAAAGGTGGTTTTTGCACAAGCTATTAGAGAACTTTAGATTCTAAGACGAGTACGACATGGAGTACAAGATTTTCTCAGTACTAAGTTGCAAGCGCGCGTAAACCAGGGTCATTTTGGCGGGAAAACGTGGTAGCCGTCGTCTCCCTACTACGAGTCTTAGCGAGAATGCGAAGTGGCGGAAACAAGTTATCAAATGTTAGAAGTCATTATCATTTTGCGATCGGGCGAGGGTGTAACCTCCTTCACTAAAGATAGCAGTGCTAACTTTTCTATTTAAAAATGGTAGAATGAAGCTTACCGGTGAGGAGTCTATATTTTTAGAATACGCAAAAAAACTTAAAGTCAAATCTCGTACTCGTAGTCGTCCTCGTCTTTGAATCTAAAGGTCTCTAATAGTTACCTGCGTTACCCGCAACGAACACAATAAAGAAACGAAACGGAAAATATAACATGTCAACATGTGACCGAAAGATAGCTAAAGATGAATGCGAACAGACCAGTGAGGATAAAATGTATGTGTACAGTAGTTGTCAGCCTGTTCTTGTGTTTCCAGTGCCGTAGCTATGATGTGCAGCTCTGAACTGAGACAATAGCTTCGTATACGAAATCTTTATTACAGAAATTGTTCACATCCTGGAATGCTGGGCGTCGGAAATTAATCATCAACTATACCTCGATATAGCGAACATTTCGTTTGTTTTTTAAAAAAAATTCGTTAAATCCGGGTTGTCGATATAACGAACCCTCGATATAACGAAAAACTTTCCCCAGTCCCTTGGCACTTTGTTAAACCGAGGTTCCACTGTAGTTTCAGTACAATACAATATGATACATTTTTTTATTCTCCCAATTGGGTTTCTCAGAATTGATTTACAGGACTCATTAGGCTAAGTAATGTGCGAAATAACTAAAAATTACACGTATAAAAGACAATTGAATTTTAATGTTACAACTACAATTATGAAAATTAAAAAGCCAGTAAACAATTAATTAAAAAAGATCGACAAACTACGGTAAACTCTATTTCCGCATTCTGATAATATCAAGCCTGGCACTCGTTTTAAAAACCTCAACAGAGGCAGAGCAGTCCTGGAGGCAGAGTTTCTAATATCGTTATGAAAAGACTGTTCCAATATTTAGAAGCCCTGAGGCGTAACAGACGCTGACCGGATTTGTAGTTATCTCGATTTCCTCAACGATCCTCAACACCGGAACACGTTCCAAAAAGAATTGTGTAATAAGCGATCTCTATGGCTAAATTCGGAAATTAATGAAAGAAATGATTTCTAGGGCTTCTTTGAAAAGAAAAGCCATAAAAAACTGGTTCACAAATTGATTGGTTTACTTACGAGAAAGCGAGGAACGGGATAAAATATTCGGCCGGCCTTAAGCTGAGAATGAATTGAAATTTTTCGCTGTAAGGCGGTAGTTTTTGAGTGGGTAAAGCCTCATAACTTGCAATAAACTATACAAGCATTACGGCTTGGGTTTTAACTTCATCTCAGTGCGTTTTAAAGAATACAACTGTCCTCTAAACGTTTTCCATTTTGCTCCGTCGCTTTTTGGACTGCTATAGGGTCCACCATAATACAATCCATTGAGATTTGCCCAAGAACAAGACCTATACCACCACGCTCCCTTGAATAACACAGCGCAGTTGCTGTCGTGCTGATCGTTGTCGGCATCTTTGGTTGTAAACTGCATGTTACTGCGGACAAAGGTAAACGGCACAAATCATATACAAAAAGATTTTCTTGTAAGAACGTCATGTACATGTTGTGTGTGGTTCAATTGCATCCTTGCCCCCCCCTTTATTTTTAGCCTAAACTGAGGCCCGAAGGGCGAAAAAAATATTTTTGTCACCGCCCCCCGCTTATCTGAAGGTCTTGGATCCGCCACTGTATGGCCATGGATGATAATGATTTTGAAATAAAGGAAAATAAAATTTAAACCAAGGTTAAAATGAAACCACAAAATATATGTTCTAATATACTTTGCAAGAGCACTCGTCCGTAAAAACAAATTTCTTGGAAGTTCTCAAAAAACAAACAAACAAACAAACAAACAAACCAAACAAACTAAGTTATTTATTTTACAGTGGAATCCTGCCTTGCCCGCGTAACAGGCGCTTTAGCATTTTGCGCGAAGCGCGAGACGATTTTCTCCCTTCGTCTCGTGCCTCCCGCTCTTTTATCGCTTCGCGCGATGCCGCGTTTGCCTCGCTTGGCTCATAAATTCAAGCGTCTGTTATGCAGGCTATTCAGATAGTGGGGACTACGGTACAAAGACGAGTGAGCACGAAACACTTGTGAGGAGGCCACTGTTCACGACTATCTTGAAAACCCGTATATACGACCACGTCGTTATACTCCGTGGCCAGACGGTGGTCCCATTAACGGAAAATCACTGCACATAAGCTTAACTAAGTAAAAAGGTTAAGTGGGTGAAATCACGACATTCTTATTTTTCATTTTTCATATTGAGAAAAATGCAAATTTTTTAACGAACTTTTGATAAAATCGCCATCTAACCCTAACCCTAAACCCTTAAAGTACGACTTTTTCTCTCGGACAAAAATTGACATCGATTCTGCATTTGAAATATTTAAGTCTTGTTCTTGCGGCTTAAAACATTACAATGATTTTCGGACTCACATCGAGTAACCAGGCTTACCATTCTATCCCTGTATTATCTGTTGCAAAATATTTTTCTTTCATGATCAAGCGCCATAGTCCGTCTTAGTCCTCAAAATCATCTCTTAGCATGACTTTATTGGCGGTTTAGTTGTCGGTGAAAATCATTGTTTCTAAACCAAAATTCACCGAAAGTCAGTATAGAGCTTTGCTGACAAAATTTTTTTTCATCTTTGATTTATAAAATTTCAGAGTAAATGGGCCGGCAAATAAATATTTTGTTACCTTAGGCTCCCTAATGAAACCTGCATCGAGTCTCCAGCTGTGCCTCTGTATCCCTCAACCAAAATACGGTATTTATCGGCTCCGTTAGCGACCTTAAAAGTAGTATACTCAGCGTAAGCCGTGTTGCCATCAAAGTCCTCCAAGTCAACTCTAAGTATGACATCATCGGCGGCTGTCAAACGATGAAGATTGTCGTTTCCAAGCCAAAACTCACCGTTTAGATCGCCAAACCCATTCTTGTAAGATTCCCAGCCACGATAAAAATCAAGGGAGCCGTTTAAACGTCTCTGAAAGACAGTCCAACCTCCACCGTCGGTAGTCGTGTCACAAAGCACTTGTATTGGCTTACCACCATCTGGGATGGTGTAATACAGACCGGATGGGGTGATTTCAGAGCAGCTCTTTAATACTTTTTCTAAAAGAGAGAAATTAGATAGCGGTTGATAAACGTTTGGAATGAAATATTACTTATTTTTGTCTTAACAACAACGTATAAAAACGTCCGTATCCCAAGGACTCTTGTAACCAAATAGCCTCATTACAAGGGGTTATTTTTTGTGCATTGCTACGTGACGTGTCTGTTATTTTAATACCTTAGGGACGGACCATTAGAAAACTTATGGGGGGGGGGGGGGCGGGCGAAGTACAAAAAAAAAAAATTCGCGCAAGGGAAAATTAAATGAAAAAAAATTCTTGCATGCCAATGAACCTTAAAAAATGTTCATGCTATGGCCTAAAAAAAATTCATACAAGGAATTTGCTAACGAAAAAAATTCCTGCGGCTCGAAAATTCCCCTCCCCCCCCATAACTTTTCTAATGGTCCGTCCCTTAGCGATCCACTGTAGAGGTCGAAAGACGATACTACAGTAGTTTTGTGAACTGCCATGTAAATTTAATAGTGTGTTGAAAGGGAAACAAATCAGGTTTTTGTTTCTTTTGTTGACTGAAAATAATGTATACAAGTTAATGGGTTGAATATTCTAATCTGCTGTGTTAAGGTGGCATTTGAATCTTTTTGCTCTTTTACTCTAATTTCTTTTTTAATTTTCATTTTCTCCAAAACAGGTAGTTGAAAAATGATTTTCCTGGAAAATTCCACTAAAATGCTCGAACAATGCTTAATGCTTTTGGCTCAATATAATGCTGGGAAAAAATGCCAGCATAATGTACAATAGGCTATAGTTGCCGTAGCCGTAGATAACCTTAAAGACGGCGGCGAAAAAGGTTGGGAAAAGTATTTGATCCTTACCGCACGATATTCCTCCGTACCCTTTGTCACATTTGCATGCAAAGCTGCCGGTGGAGTAGTCTGGGATGCAAATTCCCTTGTCACCACAAGGATTTAAGCTGTCAGACTCGCAGACACTCTGTTAAGGGAAAAAATATCTTTAACTCAACAAAAAACGCACATGTTGCTATTAAGATTTCGTGGATGTCAAGAAAATCTACATCAAAACGAGGGAATTCTTCCCTTGTGTTGTTACGAAAACAGATAGCCTGTTCCAGGCGTTCAGATAGTGGGGAGCGGTGCGAAGTAAAAAGGAGCGCGAAAAAATAAAAGCCCTTTCTTTACTTCGTAGCGCTCTCCACTATCTGATTACGCTTGGAACAGGTTAGAAAACAGATGGCTACATGAAGTCGTTTAGGCCCAGTTATGCATTCTTTTATACGTATCTAGAGGATCATTTGATGGCCTCGTTTAAAAGTAAGATTTCTTTACTTTATATTTAACACACGCGAACGAGTTCATAAAAGCTTTAGCGCTTACAATCATAAATACAAAAATACATATCAATGGGATAAAAGTACATTGTAACGGAGTTATGGTTCGTAAACTATAAGACGTGCTTATCTTAAACAAAGGTTCGCGATCTTTAGAACTAGCGAGACCAATTGGGATCAAAACGCTTTAAAAAAATGAAACTATTTGGCGACTAAAAAAGGTTAGCAAACAAAGTCCGGTTGCGTGCAACTATCCTTCTACCACCCGTTGTTCGTTGTTGTTGTTCTTTTAACATGACAGTCAATCCATTTAAGACAACGGAAATTATACTTCCAAAATTGGCTTTTGAATAAGAGTTATAAATGACTTAGTTTGGTCCTTGTATTATTAATAATTCATTGTCCTTAAATAGTAGATTTTATTTTATCACGTACAAGAAAACGAAATATGAACAAAATAAATTTAAAGAATACAGTCGCAGTTTTTTGTACAATATGAACTGCGTCTTCGCTCTTGATTTCCTCAGTACTGATAAAGCCACCGACCAATTTAGTTTCAAACGTTAAACCTCTTTGGTCATTCAGGGAAATCTTTGATAACTAAGAACTTGTTACAATTGGGGATGAGGCTCTGTTAGGATAAAGTTTTAATGAGTTTAGCGTCATTCGAGTGCTGAAAATTTCAACTGTTTTTACAACAGTCTCCACTCGTTAAATCGCTATAAGTACAGTGATAACCTAACCAGCAAGCTTCTAATTTTTCCTTGCTATCTTCTTTTCTTCCAAGATCCTTAACTAATTCTCTTTTGACGGTTAATTACCTCCATTCCTCTGTAACTGAAATTGTCATCTTCTGTGAAGTTGCCAAAGCCAACAAATCTATCGCAACCATTTAACTGACACAGGAAATTCCCAGCTTTATTCTTCTTGAGTCCAAAGTTGTAAGAGCGGCATTGCTCGTCATTGACACATTGACGCCTACACGCACCCTCTGTATCAACTTGCATTTCTTTTATCACGCCTCCATTCAACTTTCGTCCTTCTTTCGCCTTAGCAAAGTTAACAGCTTGAAAACCAGGTCCTGAAATACGGCTTAGGCCCGATGCAGTTTCGGCAAAGACGAGTACAAGGCACAGTAACATTTTTTCCCGGATCACTTTAACGGTATAACAGGTGTTTTAATATATAACTATTAAGTTTTCCATTAAAGATGATTAGTTATACTGGTTCCCAGTATCTTCTCGTTGTGTTGTTTCCCTCAAGAGCCTGGTTTCTTGTTGCTACAAGAACGATATCGTCCCGACATCTAAAGATCAATTAAATTTGACCGGCTTGTTTTTTCAGAGTCACCCCTTTAGTGAATTAATATTCTTCGCAAAAAAACTGGCCAAGACATTTTGCACTTACAACTGTGGCCAGGATGCGATTTTAAACATGAAACTGGTAATCTACGTAACAGTTAGCCTGCACCACAGACGAAACTCAGCTCTGGTTAAGTCGGTCTACAAAACAGCGCCTAAATCCTTGTTCTGGGCCCCAACTGTGTACCAAGATTTGAATACGCGCCATGATTGGCCTGTGAAAAAAGACGTCGTTAATTTGCCAATCAGTAATAAAGGAAATTCCAAACGCACCTCCGGTAATTCGCTGAGTCCGTTGGGGACCTACAACGAGAATAGTCTCGGCGATGCTTCGCAGACGTCACTAACCAATGTTAAAGTACGTCTTCGACGCAGGCTACTTACCGGCTTAATCCAAACTTTCAGTGAACATGAGTAAGTTATTTTAAGACCCCCTTATATACAGGTAAGTGATCTCGCCCCAAGTTTTGAAAGAGCAAGGAATGTTCATCTTCGCGCATAATAATCCTAACACTTTATTAGGTTAACACAAATAAGAGGTAAGCCCATTTTGTGCCAATAGCCTACGTTCGATTTATTAAATTCTACAATGAATCCGAGGCTTTCTGGTGATTTTTCATTTTGGTTTGGTTTTCTTCGTGCTCAAGTTTCTTCTGGAAATTGCGAGACAATTGATTCGTGAAAAATTTGCAATTTCCACCCTAAAGCCTTGGAGTCATGTTACTTAGAATTTGTATTAATACGTTGAAGTTGGGCTATAGAGTGTTTTCACATGACTTCACGGCGGCCATATTGGTGTCCCAAAACAATGAAACGGCGGCCATGTTGGTGTCCCAAACCAATCCTCTGGGAGTTGAACTCTTTTCTTATGCAAACGCTTTCTTTTGTTCCGATAAATTTGCATAGATGCTGGCCACGTGAGTGAAAACACTCTACAGTGGCTGGCAAGGGAGGCAAACGGGAATTGGGCGGAGGGGGGTGGGGGAAGGGGGGGGGGAGGGGTGGTGGGGGGGGTTAGGTATTTAGCCAGTTCTGCCAAGCCTGCACTGACTAAAAAGGGAGTTCTCACAGTCTTTTAGAAATTGAAGATAATCACTTGCATACATCCTTTATTTATTGCAAGGCAAAAGATCAATTCGCTTACAAACATCACTTGATCTGCAATGGGCACTTGTAAACATACATTCTAACAAGTGTCACATGATAAAACCAATCGTATTCGAATTGTCACTTTATCAATTAAAAATTTCAGGTTCAGAATTAACCTGAAGTGGGCTGTCTAAATGGCCTGCGAGTGGGTAAGATAAAGGGAATCCTGTTTTCGGATTGTTCTTCCCGAGCGGAGCATTTAGGGCCTATTTTGCCACTCGAGACTGCTCCGCTTTGGTCCATAGCAAAATAGTTTGCTTTGGCCATATTATGACCAGGTTTGTTCAGTCACGACGACTAAAATTTTGGGATCCTTGCTCTTCTAATACATTTTTTTGCGCTGTTCCTGTGAAACTCGTCTTTGTCCTGGCAAATATAAAAAAGAAAAAACAAACCTGGCCAATTTCAGCCATTTTGACCTTACGTTTCGTCAATAACTTAAACGCATAAATTGTAAGAGCCGGTTAAATCTACTGAGTACAAATGCGCCGAGTTATTTTTGGCAAAGACTTGTGGGACTGTCACCGGGGACAGGAAAAAAAATATGTCCAGCGCGGTAACGATCTCACAAGTAATTGCTAGACACATTTCGGCTCCAGTTACTTTCTCCTTTCTAAAAAATAAGTGTTGAATACAAGATAAACTGCCTTAATTAAGGCCATTTATCCATAACCGAGTACGTTCTGTATGACCGGGTTGTAGTCTGAAGCCGTAACTATACTTAAAAGGTCATATAGCATGCACTCTTCATGAGATTAGGTAGCAAATGGTTTCAAATGTCTACCACTGCGACTTAAATGATGCGACGCAAATCATCATAATGCCGTAATAGGCTTTTTGCATGCCTGTGATCACGTGATCAACTTTCGGTAAACACGAAAACAGTTCACTTTGGAAACATTTTGTTCGCACAAGCTGAAAGACCATATTAAAATCAGGAAACCTGAGAATGTGCAGCCGTATATCTCAAAAATAGCGATGGCAACGGCCGCCGAAAGTTAGAAGCATTTGTATGAGAAAAACAACTTTTGCCACCCAGTCACGCTTGCATGGTTTTCCATACAAATCCTTGTAAATTGTATTATTTTTAAACTGTCGTTAAATCTTTCCCTTACGCATTTAAGGGCACAAATTGCCTGTTATGAGTTAAGAGGAGATTTGAGCCCTAAAATTCTTAAGGAAATATTTCATAACAGTTTTGAAAATTTCGAAATTACAAGGATTTGTATCGAAAACCATACAAGGGTGACTGGATGGTAAGAGTTGTTTTTCTCATAAAAATGCCTCCAACTTTCGGCGGCCGTTGCAATCGCTACTTTTGAGATATAAGGCTGAACAATCGCAGGTTACCTAATTTTAATATACTCTTTCAGCTTGTGCTAACAAAATTTTTCAAAGGGAACTATTTTCGTGTTTACCGAAGGTTGATCACGTTATTAAGTCATGCAAAGAGCCTATACCATTGCTTTTTATGGTTTAGGTTTTAATTTCATCTCAGTGCGTTTCAAAGAATAATACTGTCCTCTAAACGTGACCCATTTTACTCCGTCGGTACGGTAGCTGGTGTTATAAGATCCCCAACGATACAAACCATTTAGATTGGCCCAACTGCAGGAATGGTACCGCCATGCTCCACCCTTTAAAACAGCGCAATTGTCAGGGCCATACAGATCATTGTCGTCATCTTTGGTTGAAAACTGTAAATTACTGCAGAAAAAAGTCACAGTTTGATAATGGCACAAATTTTACAAAGGGATTTGTTCAGTGTCAGCAGGTTATTTATTTACCGAGTTAGGATTTGGAGATGGATTTCGAAGTGGATTTCAAGGTGGATTTGGAGTTCGGATTTTCCAGTCACCCCATGCAAGTCAACCCAAGACGGTTTTGGATTCTGGATTCCACGCTGTGGATTTCCGGGTTCCAGGTACTGGATTCCTTGTTTTGTTTATTGGAACTTGGATTTCTGATTCCAATTGTTGGTGGGATTCCGGATTCCAAAGATCAGGATTTCGTTTTCCACAAGCGAATTTGTTCCGGATTCCGGATTCCTCAAGCAAAACTTTCCATCCTTACATGGGGTGATTCGAGTAATAGGCATCATGCTTCCGAAGTAAAGGCTTTGTTGTGCATTACAGCTCATTGCTGCACGCTGCAGTTCAGATACAGATGCCACTTATGTGGCTGTGGTCGCTTAAGAGTATAGAGACTTTACCAATTAATAAATGATTTGAATAAGAGGGAGAAGGTATCTAAGGTGGTCGGGGCTGGCGATGACTTATCGTAATGGTAAAAAGAATCGTAACAACAGTCAGGAGTGAGCAACTTCTTTGCGCTCGTGTCACGGCGTTTTCACGGACCAGTTTATTTTTGGAACGGTTTTGGCGCGAATTTTGACTATCTTTTAAATTCCACAAACCGGTCAGCAAAACCTACAGACCTAACGAATGCACTCATAGACATGGTCGAGATTCTATTTTCGCGGGAAAAAGTGCCCTAAAATGTGTCTAAAAATAAACTGGTCCGTAAAAACGCCGTGACATAGGCCTCGTATGGGATTTGCTCGCTCCGGGTTATGGGCTCTTGCAGCAGTGTAAGATGGGCTTAAAAGGAAATTATATTACTGAAAGATTGTTGATTTGATACTCTAAACTGCCGCTTATCCCTGGGCTTATACATCTTCGTCAGGGATTTAAGAAGGGCTTATAAACGGAGGGGCTTATATCCGAGCTGTTTTATACCCGAAATAGAAACAGCGCCTTGAAACAAGATATAGCAGTCCTAATAGGTCTTGCATTTACTTTTTTTTTTTTTAAATTAACCTTCAAAATGTCATAATAAATCTAAAATGTCATAATAAATCGAATTCAATAGATTCGTAAGGGGCTTATATCCGGAGGCTTGTAATCGGATGTATGTTTTGGTTTACGGGTCTATAGATGGGTTTATAACTGGTCCGGAGGTGGCTCATAAT